GGCATCACACAGTAAGTGCATCTTACAATCATTATGAAAGAGCCACCAGACCACCTTTGGTGTAAGGAAGCATCCAGCACTGGGTTAACTCCACACACTGTCCAGAAAGGCATGGATCATCTGTGCTGATGCTGCTGGACGCCACCAATTCCTTTCCTTGATTTCTCCCAGGAAAGAGTTCTGTTACTCAGCCTCTCTTCTCTGGCTTTACTCTCTCTTAGCTGCTGTTGCTGTCTTATTTTCTCCTGGAACTTACAGATAGCGCTTAAAACCTTCAGAGAAGTCTTAAGCAGGTATTTGTCTGCTTAAGTGTAGAGCTAACGTGCATAGAGGGGCATAGGTACACACACGAACCGTGCCCAAGATTTCTCACACACCTGGTTAGACAGTTGTGTATTGAGCGTGAAGATCTAGAAAAGGCTCTTCAAATGGATTCAGCAGAAAGCACTTGCAGGATGCCTTATCAAAATTTTAAAGAGAGAACTCAGCCAAATGTGTTCACAGAGCCCTCTTCAGTCCTTTCTGCTCAACACAAGAAAGTCTGGCTGGAAGTCAGAGATGATGGGGTGAGGAGGGAAGGGGAGAGGGGTTACATGTGTGTCGAGGAGCATGGGTGGACATTAGCCCAGCAGGCAAATGCCTTCCCAGAACTTAGTTCTCCATCTGGACAGCCCAAGACCATCTTGCAAGATTACTATTCCGGACTACTCTTCCTCAACAATGAAATCAGCGGGCAGCTATTGAAACAAGCTGGAATGAAGGCCTATCTGTGTTCCACAGGCAAAGTTATGATACCACAAGTAAATACTGTATTTTATGGATATCAAGAAGATAATCTTTGTTCTTCCTGGAGCCCTCTCACCCCTCTAGGTCATGAGTTAGGCACAAGCTGGTTGTGTGCAAAAGCCCCTTCAGACAAAGTCACAGCTATGTTTCCTTTCATACCAATTCACTAGGACAAAAGGGCTCTTAAACCTCACCTAACACCTTAATGAAACTCTGCAGTTTGGACACTTGCCTCTCTGAAGGCAGAGTTTAGAAGATGAAAGTTTCAGTCACTGTTGTCCTTTCCCTAGGCATTAGATTAGTTTGTAGACATCCTGCTGTTGGCTGTGTCTTCACACCATATAGAACATTGGACACTTACTGTGAAAATTCATACACTCTTCATGGTAAATGTCCAGTGTTCCTTTCTCCAAGGAAGGCAGTCTAGCCTGAATGTCATGGTTGCATTGGGATTAAAACCCAGACATTCTTGGTCCACATCCTACACTTATCCAGGGTGGGCAGAAGGTACTTAAGATACTTGGGACCTGTAGATCAGGAACGACTCTCAGCATAGCTAATAGAAATGTTGGAACTGATGTCTAAAACTTCTGGTGATCTACTTTCTGCCTACCCCTGGACTATACTGGCTTGGCTAAGAAAGTTAATGCTTTCTTCATAAAAACATTCAATCTTATACTTTAAGAGGTTTCAGCCCTTTGGCAACAGTTGATACCACAATAAGCTATAATTTTCTCATGACAAGGGTGGACAGACTTTGATTTCAAATTGTTGTGAAGTAGCTCTTGCACCCCTCTGCAATGCTTTATACTTGAAAAAGGGAGAAGACAACTTGTCTGGAGAAAAACCCATAGAACTGGTGGGAAAAAAAGAAGGTAAAAGAAGCCAACTTTCTTCTGGAAATAACATGATCAGTTAATGACACAATCCCCCGTAAGGAAGGAGCGGGGAGGCAAAATAAGGAAAAATGGATTTGAACTGAAGTATAGATTTACATAAGGCATTAGAAAATATGCCTTAACCTGGAAATTGAATAGTTAACATTTAGGCATAAATCTTCATTGGATTCTTCAAGAGCAATGAACAGGTGATGAAAGCACCTCTGCATTTCCAGTCCTTTTCTATCTGTTTCTTTGAAATGAATAAACAGCATTCTTCATCCTAGTACCCTCCAGATATTTAAGATGGTATATTTAAGATGTTCATTCCCATAATTCACAGCCAACATGGTCAATGGTCACAAATCTGTGGAGCTGTAGTGCAAAAACATCTACGTGCTACTTGATTGAGGAAGGGACAAAATAAATTATTCTTGGCTTTACTGCCCTATGGTATTTTCCTAGTTATAATCTACTGCCAGTACCTTTCGCCTCAAGAAATTGGTCCAATTCCTGTTAAAAGGTTTTTCCAGGTGTCTATAGCATGAACTCTGGACTTGCTTTGTTGGTTTCAGAGCTGAATTCCCCCTAATGTCAGACTTTCTGACACTCGTCAATTATGATCTCACAGATGATGGCATTAGAACTCTCAAGTCAGCAGTAGAAGGTGAGGTCTTAACTCTCTGTAGAATAGATAGCTGTCCAGATAGTTAAGGTGCAGTTTGTAATTTGGAAAACTGGTTTTAAATTTGCCATCTTGCAGCTACAGCATTTCGGTAAAATCAGTATAGTTTTCTGTCCCAAAATTCCTATATAATAATTATAGTTTATCCTTCTGAAGTTCAAGCAGGCACAGTGAGAGAAATGCATAAATGTTTAGGAGATATCACCGTTTCCAGAAGCTAGGATAATATACTTCAGGACTGACTGAATCAGACTTCCCCACCTGGTGCCTCCCAGTCTTTTGGACTATAACTTCCAGCATTCCTAGTTATGCCTTTGCTGGTGGGAGTTATAATACAAAACACCTGGAGGGCAGAGTTTGAACTAGATGTTAAGATTCAATGATAAGGATTACAATTTTGTGAACTTCCTCAATAAGTAGTTTTTAAGAGTACATTCAAGGTAGTTGCTTGAACTTATCTTGTGGGAATACAATTTTAGCCATGTTACCAGGAATAGCCTGGGGCTTCAGGATTTGCAAAAATATGGTCATGTCCCTTCCTTGAGAAAGCACCGGTGTTACTCTGGCTTAGAGCTTCAGCAGTTAGTACTCAGTTTTGCTCCCAAATCTAACAACATTTCCACATTGTCTTTTGTTTGGGTACCTGTTGGTATTAAAATGGTTTTTTTTTCACAAATTCATACAACATCGACAACAATTGTCCGGAGCATCTGCTGCAGTCCCAATCTGATCCCAATGCCATGGCCCCTGGTCCAGGCCCCCCTAATCCTTTAGAAGTTTTCTGCCTTCTGTGCAAGTTCCCCCTGTACACAGACACATTCTAAATGGTTCAAATGCTTCACCTAAGGCTCAGTTACTAGCAATAATAACTTTAAACTACAAGAAACTGGCATTATTTGCATTTTTTTTAAATAAGTTGGCTCCACCCACCCCAGAGCATGTCCAAAATTGAATTTGGACCTAAGACTGAAGGACAGGTCTATGACCTCTTAACCTCTGATCTACAGCTACATGCATGCAGTTCTCAGCCATATTTTCCCTAGCATTTTAGCAGCAGAATTTTAAAGTTGTTGGCTACATAAAATTATTTCATATTTCAGCTCTATTGAGGCTGCAGTTCTATATGCATTTGACAGGGAATAAGCCCTTTTAACTCAAATAAACTTTTAAATTTTTACACAAATATGTACAGATTGCCCTGATAGAGGAGAAAAAAAGGTCTGCCCATTTAGACATAGTCTGGCGACTGATCTAGTAGATGATCCTGCACTGAGAAAATGTTAAAAGAGAAGGAAGAGAATATCACTGAGTTCAGATTTGGTCCTGTTTAGATTTAGACCCATTGAAATAAATGGGGTATAAATTAGTGTAAGGGAATTTTTTTCAGTTACATTTCAAGATTCTTCAATGTGTTTCCCACACTGAAGCTTCAGTAACCTTAAGTGACTGAAAGTACTGAAGTTGATGTTCTGTGCTGTATAATTTTCCCCCACCACCACTAGTGGGGGCATTTTCCTTTTCAGGATGTATGCAGAGGAAATGGCAGTATCTTGCCTTTCATAAACAGAAAGCAATAATTCTGTTGTTCAGTATTGTTGACATGTCGAAACCTGCCTGTTTTACTCCTATCCTTCTTTTACTTGCTTCCTTACTTTGTGGAAAGAATTAGGCTAGCCAAATGCACTTTTGCAAGAAAGGAAATACACCTCAAAAACAAAGGAAACATTTGCATAATCTTTCCATTTGTTCATTTGTATCTATAGATGCAATTTAGAAATAATTAATATTACTTGCATAGAAATGCTTCTCTCCGTAGATGGGAAAACTGTGAAGTGATGACCCGTGCTTAGTCTACTATCTAGATGCCAACTGCTGATGAGCGACTTCAAAGTCCATCCCTCTCTCCTTATGGTTCTTTTATCTTTAAACTGAACTAAGCATAATTCCAGAGGGGAGGGATCCTTGTGCTAACAATCAAAAGGCACTGCACTGCTATTCCATCTTTTCTTCCTTAGTGTGTGTGTGTGTGTGTGTGTGTGTGTGTGTGTGTGTGTGTGTTTGCTCTGGATGAAGCAGTGGGAAAACATGCAAGAGCTCCAAACTGAATGTCGTTATCCGCTCTGGTAAAATCCCATGAAAAAGGCTGCACAGTAAAAGCCTCATCTAAAAGTACCCTTAGACTGGACAACCCTTTAAGTAAATCACAATCCTCTGTAAAGTCAGGCACATAACCATGCTAGCAGGAATAGGGATCTGTAGCGACTTTTACTGCTGCTCGTACTGTTACTATTTTATTAGTATTCTATTACTAATTACGAGCTGTACAACAATTACAAGTGAAATGAGCTCTGTTTGCAGATATATAATCTAATCAATGAAAGGACATATCAGAGAGGAAAGGGAACAAGGAGGCATCCAATGGATTCAGAGAGAATCAGCAATACTTCCCCCTCTTTTCTTCTCCCCCCCCCACCCCAATCTTCTTCTTTCAACATTGGCCAAAGCATAAAAATACTTAAATTATTGAGGCAATTCCTTCCTTCTTTTTCATAAATGCCCTTTTCCTTTATATATTTGCCATAAGGAAAGCTTTGATAAAAATGTGACTGCTTGCATTCATGCCAGGATCTGCAAATCTACACCCTCATATCAAACAAAGGCAAGGTCTACTAAAAGCTATTAAACAAGAATGCTCTTGGGAACCTGCCTGAAAATTTCAGATTCCTCCACCTTATGCATACACCAGCATATTTACCGAAACAACACTGTGCTGAAGTGGATGGTGAAGAACATAAAAAGTGCAACAGTGGAACCATGACATTTTGCTGTCTTTGAAATTAAGGGGAAGGAAGAAACCGGGAGGAGGTGAGGAAGAAAATAACCAAGTACAATTAGCATCTTTTGTATTTTCTTGGAATTGTCTGGGGAATTGCACAATGGAGCTGCCATCTGATAGCCCCTCAACTGAGAGGAAAAGGGAGAGGATGCAATAACTCCATCATCTTCATCAGGTATTTTATATGCAGATATTTCTATAGTGTAGCATATACAGACTGGGATGGAGCATTACAAGCAAGTATGTGCAGAGACATCATGCTATATGATTAGTTTTTAAATTTCTATTTCACATTCCCTTCTGAAACTCACCTCCCACCCTGCAATCCTCTTTTCAGCACCTTGGAAAACACCAGGTCAGTCTCTTGGCTGGATTATACCTCTGGTAGTTCTATTTTTCCAGGCTTATGTAATTTGGGTCCCTTCCATGCATCGGCTCCCTATAACCTGGTGCATTCTGTGCTGCAACTAGAGAGCAGGAAGGGATGAAGGGCCATGGTCAGTAGTACAATGCATGCTTGCTGTACGTAAGGTCTCAGGTTCAATTTCTTGCATCCCCAAGTAGGGCTGAAAAAACTCTTGCCAACAACCCTGGAGAGTTGCTGCTGGTCCAGATGGACCAATACTCTGGGTACACCATAGCAGAGTAGTAAGAGCACAATAGTTGTACATCTCACCCCAGCTGCCAAAACCTCAAGCAACTGAGCTATGCCAGAAACGACAAAGGAAGACATAATATTTCCTATGCAGACTACTAAATTAATTTGAGTTGAAGTCTGAGGCAGACTTGTGGAAGTAGAGAAATCCTCTCAGAATCCAAATCTGATCATTCAGACCTTCAGTATGTGGCCAGCACCAGTCTGTTTATCTTTCCAAAGGAAACTTGACTGTGGCCCAGCAAACTGTTCAGTGCATGTGCCATGGCAGTACTTTGTGGTTGTTTTCCTTTAAAAAGCTGCTTTTTCATAACCCTTCAGAGCTGGGTTGGCACAAAAGACTCAGTATGAAAGATCTTCCCTCACATTTCCCTGAATTGTCGCTATATTGCATCTTGTTGCCCTATCTATATTACACACTTAACATCAGTTTAAGTGATGTTCAGTTTCTGCCACCTGAACCCCCACTCTGAGAAACACACATATTCACACATAAAATGCTAGAGATTGTGGTCCAGTGATGCTGAGAATTCCATTAGAATTGCCAGGATCACTCCCTTTCACAGAACCACAGTTCCCAGAGTTCACTGGGAACAGAATGACTATTATACCAACTGATGTTGGCCTTGGCGGTGTGCCTCCTATTTTAGTTGCTCTGTTGTGCAAACCTATGTATGTCTACTCAGAAGTAAGTCCCACAACATTCACCCAGGACTTACACCCAGATAAGTGTGTTCAGCCCTATTGTGGGAGAATCCAGAGGTGGGCAACATGTGGCCCTCAGCCTTTCTGGCATAACCAAAGATATTGTGCAATGAAATATCAGGGCAGATGTTGCCCCCTGGTGAAATAACCTCTCTATTCTGAAATAGTTCATATCCATTTGAGCAGGACTACCACTGGTCCTGGATTCCATCTTTGGGAATCCTGGTTTAGAGTTCAAAACCCATTCAAGAAATTATTCCGCATGGTTCATAATGTAATATAAGCAGAGCCGCTGGGAATTTTAGACTCTGAGTTTAATGGAGCTGTCCTGTTTAGATGGTGGTGTGCATTATTTCAATTACTTCAAAATGTAGTAAGTCAGCCCTCTTGCGTTTGGGGGCCTCAGGCTCATTCCGTGGAACAGAGCCCTGGGGATATGCCCCAAAGTCCTGCCCTGACAGCTCAAATGCATAGCATTGTTTTCTTCCTAAGAAACCAACATTTTGTTTCTAATTTCACCCTCCAGTCAACATGGAAATTAACATTTGAATTAATGGAGGCAGTAACTACAAGCCTGTGGCACTTTTCCTGGCTCGCTTCTGGTCAGACAGGTTCGTACTGCCCAGTCATCCTTGTTGTCCGGCCTGCAGCATGCTGCCAGCTGGCAAATTCTGGAAGCCGTCCTGTGGCTGAAGTCTGCTTTCATTTCCGCTGTTTCTAATTCAGGTTCAAATTTGAATTTTAAAGCCAAGGTGTAAAATTGCTAAGATCACAAAGCTGGATGTGTGTGTTTGTGTGTGCATTTTATAATGTGTCCTAGAATACACCATTCAGTTTGTTTATGCAAAAGCAGTTCAGCAAAAATCTTTCAACTCACTGGAATGGCTATATTTTAGGACATTTCAAGAAAACAGCTTCCTCATCGTCTGTGCAGTGAAATTCTATGCTTCAAAAAAGAGGATCTTATTGTGGTTTTGTTGCTTATTTTCAAGATTTTGTTTTGCCAGTTTGCACAGTGGTTGTTGTTCTTCCAGAAACTTAGCTGCTTGTATGTTTAGGCTACTGCTGATCAACAGAGAATTGACAGCATTGTTCTGTGTGGGTTATGTTTGTCAATTGCACATGTCACTTGCCAAAGCCCTATAGAAAACCATCAACTCTAGCATATTTCCATCCTCTGAACAAGCCATTGTTAGATTAGAATGTTGGATTGGGACTTGAGAGAGCCTGGTTTTAGTTCCCACTTGGCTATGAAGCTTGCTGATATTATTATTATTATTGTATCATAAACCTTTGGCTGTCCTTAATGAATGACTTTTACAACTTGTCCAGGTGAACAGGTGAATAACTGTATATTAACTGTCTGTATAATGCAACTTCCCCCTGCTGTGTTCTCCGCTTTTCATTGACTTCTAGGCTTATCCCCTTTATCACTAAACAAAGAAATTTTCCCACAACTGAGTGACTTTGGACCAGTTATTGACTCTCACCCTAACCTACCTTGCAAGGTTGTTGTAAGGATACAAATGGAGCAGAGGAGGGGGACTTATTGGTTCCTCAATAAGATGGGGATAGGGAGGATATAAATGTAATCAAAATTGAAATAAATAAATGGAATGCTCCTGTTAATGGCTCTGGACAGTTTGGAATATGAACCCAGCAGGGTTGTATAGGCCTCTCAGGGTGCAGTGTTTTCAGGAGTGAGGAAAAGGTGCATATTTTATTTTTCCCTGCTTTGTAATACGGTGCTAAAAATGCCCCTTCCCTACGTATTTATTTATTTATTTATTTATTTATTTAAGGTTTTTGTAACCCCTCCGATTAGCCAGATTGGCTCTCAGAATGGTTTACCAATTTAATAGCTCTGTGGTTGGGGCATGTGGGGGGGGGGGGGCATTTGGTTCTAAATATAGAGGCACCCTTGCCCTTTCCCTTCCGCATTCAAGCATACTCAGGCTAAAAGCAGTCAGTTCCCTTCTTTCCACTGCTCTCCGTTTTCCTTTTCAGCTGAGGTATGAGTATATGGTGTATCAAACTGTTCCCAGCCATAGACATGATTGATAAACACACACAGTGAGTTCACTGTTCAGCTTGGTTTCTTTAAGCCTTAGTGCAACTTCCAGAGCCATGTCCAGACATTGCACAGAGAGAGTTTCTGCCTTCACTATGTGGCTGGGTGAGAGAAAAAGCAACCTACTAATAGGAAGTCCACAAAGTGAACAGCAGGATTCCTTACTAGACCGCTGTGCCTGCTGGGACATGCTGGGAACTGTAGGCCTTCTTCCTGTCTAAGCTTGCATAGGATTGCACAATAAGTGTGTTTTCCTTTGGCCAAGGAGACCAGTTATTAGTACAGCCATTTAACTCACATGCCTTTATGTTAACAGGAAATTGCCAAATAGCCTCAGTTTGACATTTTCTCCACACTTGCATTGCTCTTGGAATTTACAAATATGGCATGGCTTGGAGCTTAAGATAACTTTATTTAAGCAAGTTCCTGGAATATTTCCCATTCCCTCCTCCCCCTGAAACCTTCCTTTTTGGAAAAGCATGTTTTCAGTAGACGCTGAACATCCAGGAGGTTTGGTGTCTGGTTAAACTGTAGCGGTAGAAAGTTCCAGAGAATTGGTGTTAATATAATAAAAGCTCCATTCAGAGCTATTATAAGCTAGTCCTGTAAAATCTTGGGCACCATTAGAAGGGAAGTTATTCCTGGGCACATCAGCCAGGAGGGGAAGGGGACAATCTCTTTAGCTGGATGTGAGTGCCAGTAATTGCAAATTAGGGTTAAGTAAGGCCCTGTGTACAAAAGCTCTGCCCACAGGCTTTTAACTTACTTCCTGACATCTGAATGTCAAATCGATAGAGCTCAATAGTTTGCCTAGCAATTTCTCTAAAGGAAATGCCGGTTTTCCCAAAGACAGACACGCTTCCTGTGGGGTGTTGTTATACCACCTCATCTGGCAAGGGGATTTCCCTTCATTCTTATTTCCCGGATTGCATCCATTTGAGTGAAGCATTAAGAAAGCGGGTCGGGTGTCTGAAGGTATTTTTTACAATAATGCCTGATTAAGAGGAAGCTGTGTCTCCTCTGTTGTCCTTGCAGAACTATCAGATCCAGCTTGGGTTTATGTATTTGCACTACAGACAGCTCTGCTCACTTTCCTTGTAACCATTTACAGGAACCTTCTTTTGCCTCCAGAAGCAGGGGGACTGGTTAGACAGGGAGCAGATTGCCGGGAATAGTTGTATTCAACCTGAACCTGAAAGAGTACTAGCTCATGTCCATCTGAGGGGAGGGCTCAGATTCTCTTGCAGAATATTTCTTGCAGCGTATTTCTCGGTGCTATGATGCAAATTCAGTTTGTTGCTAAATTCCTCCTAGACCTCCCAGAAGAGTTCTGCCTGTCAGTGTCATGAAGAATAAAGATGCAACGGAGGAAGACCAAAGAAGATGACACCTTGATCACAGATGAGCAGAATCCTAAAGAGGCAAAATATGGGAGCATGAAGAAGAGCTCTGAGCCCAGAGCTAAAGAGTATAATTATGGAACGCTAGCCTTAGGTTCCGAGAAGAAGGTCAAGTTGTCCAGTTATGAAACCCTAACTGACATGCCTGAGCAGAATGTGCAGGATGTCAGCCACTCTGGACAAAATACACAGGATGACAAGAGTGGGAAGCAGGCCATGAACCTTCCTGATATCCCACAGGTATGGAAAGAAAGCTTATTGTTTTGTAGTGGTGAGAAAGATCTGGCTTCTAGCCATACAGATACATGTAAAAAATCTAGGTAGTGTACTTTTTATAGTGTAGGAATGTGGTGGCAGAGGCAATGAGGATGCCACCTGATGCAAAAGCAGCAACCTGATACATATGCAGTAATAGGCAAAAGCATCACTTATTTTTCTTTCGTGTTTTGAAATATAAAGGCAGAAAAAAGGACACAATTCCTTCCACGCTGCTGCCAAGTAACATGATTTAGAGTTTACTTGCCCTGAAAATTGTCTGTGAGTCTCTTTCAAAAAGGGGTTCACTAGCTGGACAATACCCTGCAGTAGATCACAGACTGCATTGGTAACATGCCTGGTTAGTGTCTACCTTCACTGTGGTAGCACAGCCTTCTGGCCTCTTCTGAAGTTTTTCAGATAGCATTTTAGAAAAGAATGTCTTCTGTAAGAACATGAGGTTCTTGATGAGAAATATTTTGCCTTGGAATCTTTGAGTGAAAGGGGAGTTTATGTATTTTTTCTCATTTTGGTATGGAGGCGGCACCATGATCAGCTGGAGGAACAGAAGAGACAGCAAAGTGCGTAGAGGTTTCCATGCCCTCCTTGTGTTGCTATTGTGTACAACAGTTTCTTGTTGCTCTCTGTCGCACTGCGGAGACCAGCATGGTGTGCTAAAGTAAACCAAATGCTGTAGCTGTAAGATGATAAAGAGGAGCATTATGAAATAGCCATATGGCAAGTACAGACTGGTACTATGGAAACTATAAATAATTCCAAGGGAACTGTTTTTGAGCACTGCATGAACAAGCTGGATTTTCCACGTTTCTAGTACCACTGGACCTGTTTAGACATAATGCTTAACCATGGTTTCATGTTATTACAATTTGCCACAGTGTGCCCCAAGCATAAGAAATAATTCAGAAGCTTTCATTTGCTGCAGTGTCTAAAATCAGACAAACTGTGTTTAATCTTTACTAGGTTTCATTGAAATGAGCCAGCTTCATGTAGGTGTCTTGGTTAAACATGTGGTGTTTAAGATTAACCACGATTTAGAGTTTGACCAATAAGCTAGACTGCAGTCAATCAAAAGCAACATTGTCCAATCCCATTGTGATTGCACCACAGAAGGAACTGGGGAAGGGGAGAGTGTGGAAGCTGAAGCTTGCTGTGGCTCATGCGCACATCACTAAACCTTGCAGCAGTTCAGACAGTGCACTGTGGCTGCTGTGTGAGCTCACTCCTAACAGAAATAGAGTTTGCACATAGGAATGGTGGAAAAGCCAAACAGAGAGTGGTCACTTCCGGGGCTCTATTGTTATTTGTGTGATAGCACTCAAAAGCGAACCCTCAAGTGCAAGCTAGGACAACTTTGTTCCACATGCTGCCTCATATTTTATCACGACAAACCTTGTGCATACAGGCAGTGCTCAACCATAGCTATCTCTAGGATTGCTGTTCATAATTCTGGTAATATTCAAATGCTACCCAGTCTCCCTCCACAGTCTTCCTGCTAACCTCACCCAGAACTTTGTTTACATCAATCTTTGTCCCTTTCTTGTTTCTAATCAAGAAACTTACTGTTTTCAAAGTGCCACATACATCTCCTGGAGTATCTGTCTATATACAGTTGTACTGTGGAGGTGGGGAGCAGGCGTTTGAGGAAATTGTTTTGGTTCCCACACTTGAGCTGTTTGAGAAGAAAGGATTTTAGGCTAGAACTTTCAAAGAACAACATTTTGATTTACGAACAAGCATTGTGACGCCTGATCTGGGATGAGACATCCCTGTTTTCTGGCAGCTGCCAATGGCTAGATCGAATAATTTACATTGATACTAGATCTGACTTGCAGATTATTCAAGCTAGATTCTCTGTAATGGGAAAGGAAGGACAAGGAACAGATTTTAATATGTTTGCATGAGGGGATTTAACATTGGGACCAAGAAAGCCATCTGGTAGCAACAGTGGATCTACTGTGCAGCAAAGGCAAGCAAAAGGATGGGCACGTGTCCTGTTTTACAGAGGTCTGCTCTGCTTTTGAAAATATCCTCAATTTGAAGGACTGTTCAATTTGAAGGTTTAAAGAGGATGGACCACAAGAAGGGAGGGCAACAGAGGGCTTGAAGTTGCCCATCCTCAGTTAGTACTTAAGCAGCAAGATGTGCTGGTCACCTGGTCACCATCTTCCTCATGGTTGGAGAGGCGTACTGTTCCTTTATTGAAATGATAGGTATCATTTCTGAATTGGCATTGCTACATATAAAGGATGTGCACATTTTATGCATACCTAAGACCTGTTCTGTTTTCTTTTTTGGTGAAGCAGTTCCTATTTTCTGGGAGTGTATCAGTGGCTATTCTATGAAGGCTAAGGCTTTGGAATTTATGGGTGGGGATTAGGGAATGGAGGCATAAGAATTTATGTCTGAATGATGGAACAACACTTTGTAAAGCATTGGCCTGATGCAGGACTAGGTGGTATTTATTTTATTTTATTTATGTTTTAAAATTTGTATGCCATCCAATTACTAACGTCTCTGGACGGCTAACAGCATAAATAAATTGACAACCCACTCTGGCTGCAAGTTAATAAAATACAATAATAAAAATTCAATATTAAAACATATTAAAATATTGATTAAATAAAAAGGTCTTAACCTGGCGCAGAAAAGCATATAATGACGGTGTCAGGCGAACCTCTCTGGGGAACGCATTCCATAGTCGGGACGCCACCACAGAAAAGGTCCTCCTCCGGGTACTCTGTCTCCTAACATCTTTCACAGAGGGTTCCCGGAGGAGGGCTTCTGTTGCCAATCTCAGGGGGCAGGAGGGCAAATAGGGAAAAAGACATTCCTCTAGGTATCCTAAAGGTATGTGTATGGGTACCATTTGGTACTCTGCTTTAGACAACCAAACAACTTGGGCCAGCAATGAGCAGCACTTTACCTCTCTAGGTGCTCTGTAAGGTCCTCTTTAAGACAATTTTCATAGTTGTGGAAACATAAGTAATGTTCTTTGCAAAAAATATGACTCAGAGATAAAGCAGTAAGTCATTCTGGTGAAAATACAACATATTGGCCTCTCTTTGCCATGAGTTCATTTGCCTTTTCACTTAGTATTAACTTTGTTGTTTTCAGTGGACTAAACAATCAGCCCCAGGCCGTGTTGTGAACAGCACTGCAAACTTCTTCAGTGATGAGACGTCCAGGATAGGTAAGTAAGGCCACTGTTCACCATGGAATGCCCCAAGTTGGCAGAACATTCCTTTGTAAAGGATACTGTTGAAAAAAACCCTCCTGTCCTCTTGCAGTTCCATTGATTTGAGAGCTCAGCTTTTGTCTCATTCAAACCTATAACTTTTACATGGCTCCTATTTTTTGCAGAATTATTAATTTGCGTTCAATTATTTTGATCACCAATTTGAAAATAAAATAAATGTTCAGAAACACAGTACTTGGAAACTGGGTTTATTGCAGGAGGTTCTTCTCCTCACTGTCAGGGCTTGCTTGTCAAACAACTTAGGGTCAAACTAGAGATTTTAAGGAACATACTACTTTTTAACTCCATATGTCCTTCGTAATACTTTTAAGAGTCTTGGGAGTATTTGAAGAGGTGAGTCAACCAAAGTGATTATGTGTTGACCCTTTCCCAGTTCATAGATTTTCTCTTGCAAAACCAACATAGCCCATGTCATTTAAAAAGTTTTTTTTCACACCCTCTCAGGGAGGCCCCCAAACCAGATGTGAGCTACAATAGGGTTGAATTCAATATTGGAGAAGCTCTTGGGGGGACTATATTCCTGTGGGTTTCAAAGCCAAAAGGGATGAGACCATAAATGAAAAACATGCCAGTCTGTTGTAGCTTTAAGCTCTGACTGCTGGTGACTAAGCCTTAGGTGAGGCATTTCAGCATTTTCGAATGGGACAAAACTGCACAAACATCCAAATGCTGGGTAACTGGGGGCAGGGGCTGAGGCCAAGGGAAGAGGGCTTAGCCTTTGCAGGTCTGTATTGGTTTGCTGGGCCTGAGGTTCTTCACACCTGTTGTAGGTGATGGCATTTGCAGGGAAGAAGCAGAGGTGTGGGAAAGGAATAAACACATATCCTTCCATCTGACTCACTGATCCTCTACTCTAAGTGTCCCCTCTTCCTGTTTTCTGTTGTTTTGACACACATATAGAAGTAATATATAGTATTTGCCTCACTAACCTGTTAAGAGTTTTTGGGAGTATCTATAAGCACATGGGCAGGGATGATATGGTAAACATTGTTTACTTGGGCTTCCAAAAGTCCCTCACCAAAGGCTCCTGAGCAGAATTAGTGGTAATGCAATAAAAGGGAAGAAGAATGCCCCATTCCCTTTACTCTGACTTGATAGGATTGATGATATTATCTCAGCGGATTCCAAGTACACCACTCCAAGCCTGAAAGATTTGTTGCTTTAGATAAATATATAATTTGGAGTACTTTATATAATAAAATATATAATATAATTTGGAGTACTTTTTCCTTTGTGAAAAATGAAAACTTTTTTCTGGACACTCGACGTTTTCAGGATAGGCACCAGGAAAAGGTGATGGGAAGTGCAGAGAGCTTCCCTGATCCCTTTTTACCCTTCTTCTAGGATCCACTGTCTTGGATTTCTCTTTGATGACTAATTACAAACTTTGCTTACAGCTGAGAAGGCTGCTGGTGTAATGTTTCTACTCTGTGCTTTGTCTCAGACTTTGTGCTTGTATGGGAATCAGATTGTCAGGATTTGGAGGGACAAAATGAAGAGGAGGAGAATGCAAAACCCAGGCAAAAGAGATTGATTGAAATGCACAGAGTGTGGCGAGAGAAGTTTCTGAATAAACTCCAGATGGCAGGTCTCAGAATGGAAAAGGTAATCGAATGCACTGGTGATAGAGTTTTGTTTGTAGGGGAAGAAGTGCTTATGCCTTTTGTTGTATTTGTAGGCTTGGTCTTAGTCTTCTTAAAGAGGGAAAGCAAAGTTTTTTTTTAATGTATTCCTCTGCCCTTCCTTAAACCCTGCTCAAAAGTATGGACATTTTTGAAAGCTTGCAAGGCTGAATATGAAGACAGCACCATGTGGGGAGAAGGGGACATGACAACTTCAAACAGAGGCCGTATCAGCACCCATGTTTTCTTTCTGCACAACTGGCAGCTGATGAAGTTAAGCAGCATTGGGGAAAACCAATACAGTTATATAATTTCACACATTTCTCTCCTATGCATGGCTGGCACCCATGTGCCCTCCACCAGTAAATAACATGTGCCTGAGTCTGCCTTTATGGGTGTGAACAACATGTGGCCTTCCAGATGTGCTGGCCTACAACTCCCATAAGCCCTAGCCAGCATAACCATTGGCAGGAGATGATGAGAGAAGTAGGCCAAAACATCTGGGCTGCAAGTTGCCCACCCCAGGATCAGAGCTAGTATAGTCACCCTGGAGAGAGAAAAGGACCAGATTCATTTCAGCACAGTATAGTCCTCTGAAATGGCTGGGCATAGAGCCAGTAAAAGCACCACCATACAGAGGAACTATCCATTGCTACCGTGAAGACACATCTGGGCCCAGCCACAGGAAATGGTTGAGTGTATTGGGAAAAGGTATCTTTTCCTATGAGAATTACTAAATCTCTGCTAGAGGATTCCAGGCAACTACTTGATCCTGATTCTTTTCATTTCCTTCCATTCTAGCATGTGGTCCAGAATGCAAGGAAGCTGGTGCATTTTATCTTGCTGAATGCTCCCTGGAGTGTACTCTGTTATTACGCTGAAGATCTCAGGCTGCGGGTTCCCTTGCAGGTGAAGATGTGATGAAGTATAACCTCACTGGGTCAAACTTTGCACTACACCTAGGTCATATGTTGTCCCTTGGTGTAAGCAAGCAGCAAAAGAGGTGGATTGCATTTCATCTTGTTGACTTGGTGGGGCTGTGTGGGGGAAGTTGCATATTTAAGTGCTTTTCCAAAAGAGGTGTCAAACAGAGAAGCAGCATGTTGGGGAGGAGGAGAGTCATAAAAGAAACCTTTTATGTGACATTTTAGCTGTTGAAAGCACACACACAGAGGGGGATTTAAGAGGCGTTGCCCAGGAAATGTTTTGCCACCTTATTTTTTGTTTGGCCTCAGGGCCGTAGTGGACAACACATTAAAGTCTTGAATCCATTTAATGTGTCTTTTTCACTTGTAGATTTTTTCCAGGATTAGAACCAGCTGGGCAACTTCAAACTTCTGCAAAGGAGTGAAATGAGCTGGCAGAGGAAGGAAGAGAACCTTCTCCCTTCTCCCTCTTCCCACTTCATCTTATTTCTGCCTTCTCATTTTTATCACTACTCTTTGGGCAAGAGGATATCGGTATCATGGGGTTCAGGGCTAGTTTACTTGCTGTCTTCTGTTGTCAGGGATATTCCTCAGTGGCCGGAGTGAAGTGCAAATGTGCTTTCATCAAGCATCAGTGGGTTGTTTGCGGGGTGGGGCAGGGGCAGTGAAGAATCTGCTTGATCCTCTACTGTATTGCTGAGAGGACAAGAGGGACTCCATAACTGATAACACTCACCTTACAATGTCTGTCTTTTAATCTGTGTTAGCACTTCCCAGAAATGGGACCTACAGGCACCTAATGCGCAGGAGGGAAATAACTGTTCTAGGTATTAAGGAAATGCAATGAGTATCGTGAGCCAGCTTGCTGTAGTGGCTGGAGTGTTGGGCTGGCACTCAGGAGACCTGGCTCTAACTCTCCACTTGACCGCTGGGTGACTTTGAGCCAGTTCCTGGCTCAGCCTCACAGGGTTGCTCTGAGGATAAAATGGTGAGAAGGAATATGTGCACAGCCTTGGGCTTTTTGCAGGAAATAAATAATTGCCCCAAAGTTTATGTGCATTTGTGCCACTCTTCTTACCTGTAACATATTCCTATCTTTGTTACCTTCTGCTTGTGAGCCTTCGCTGACTTGGTGCCCTCCAGGCTAGAGAAGGCTATCTTGTGTGCATTCTCTCTCTTTACTCTCTCACCTCTATGGACTATTGACAATATGCCCTTCTTGCCTACCATAATTCTCTATGAATTTACCTCCAGGTTGTGCCCAATCAGGCTGTAACAAACTGGTCTCACAGGATTCTGAATAAACTGGGCATTCCTAATATGCTCTACGATGAGGTTCCTGATGTTCCTATAGATTACTACACCTGTCATTTTAAAGCAAATAAGTTACCCTGGTAAGATTTCGAAATTAGTCTTCTCCCTTGATCTAACCTCATCCTCAGTTTGAACAGTCTATCAGTCACACACCCCAATCCATTCTCTTATTGTACTTCAGTGGTGTAGTGACAAAATTTCAAAATTCCAGTATCATGGTGTCCCAAAAGCTTGCAGAAACGGAGAATCCAAAAACTGCAGACAACTTTGTTGATCCATATCAACAAACCAGTTCTAGCAGTTTTCCCTCCACCAGAAGCAGTTCCTTTGTAAAGCTAGCAGGTCTAAATTGCCTGTTCAGAACCAGAACAGCTCAGAATATTTTGCATTGCAACAGGGAAAGCTCACAACAATATATTGTTGCTGGAAAAGTAAATCTGTTGGGATTGCAGCTCTGTGAGAAGGAAAAGGGAAGCCTGACAGTGGTGGAAGATAAAGTCAGTATCCTTGCTAATCAGACCTGTGTGCTTTGCTCCATTACTACACTGTTATACTTTTAAACATGATGATGTGGTTTGCATGACACAATATGGCTTGTTGTGGATTGGTAAAACCATGATGAATTGTGTCACCCACACATGCAATTTTGCAAGTCCAACTGCTGCTCTGGTACTATTGTGCCATGAGTACCTTGTGGGTTTAGGATATATGAAGGTTAAACCATTTTGCATAACCCAGAGTCTGTTCTAAGTTTAACCCTTGAACAACTCATATTTGCTGGGTTCACTTGCCATGACAACATCTGTGCATCACATGACCAGCAAACATCTGGCATGTCCCACAACTCATCATGGGTGAAATAACCTTTGATGAGCTGGCAGTATCATGCAAACCGATCCACTGAGAAGACAGCTAAAATAAGGAAATGTGCCAAATTTGAAAAACTGAACTGCACAGTTCTAACTTACAATGAAATAGGCTATAAGGAGCAGCTATATTTCCTGCTTCATTCTTTTGACCAGGGTCATAGCAGCATTGTGGAAAAGAGCTCAGAGCCTTTAAATACCTTACTGAAAAAATGTGCATACCATTATTATTAATTCTTCATTATTATTACTACTACTATTTCATTTTCATACTGCCCATGGCCAAAGCTCTCTGGGCAGTTTAAAACCTTATCTGTTTTCTTCCTGCCACAACCTCCAGATAAGTGTTTTGCTTCTGACACTGCGTGCTGTTGAACTGAACTTCTTAATCAAAAAGGAGAACTATGTTGTTAAAGAAATAGTTCTCATATAATAATTTAGCCATTTGCTAAATTATAATTACTACTTCTGATTCATTGATTCAGTGCTGAACTCAATGGCTATAACTTGGCTCAATATTCTGTTCCTCTTAACCCTGCAATGACAATATCTCAGTTCATGGGTTCCTGTTTGCCCCATCAAAATAATAATAGTGTCCACAATCCTTTAACAGTGATATTGGGGAGCTACAGAATTTTCTTAGTCTGGTACTTCTTCCTGTCTTCAAGTTTGGGTTACAGAGGTTAATGCTGGCCTCTGTATTCATAGCCAATCTCCATAGAAAGTAAGTGTGTGGAAATAGCACCTCCGTGATTGCTGCTAGAGAGCCAGGCTGGGGCTGGGAAATATCCCTTATCCTCTCTTACAAGTTCTGAGGTTCATGTCAGCAGTTTTTCCATAAATTTTTTTTTCTCAGGTTTCTTGGGAGTGATCACCATGAGACCTTCTTCAGCAGCACACAACGGCACAGAATAGTAAGTCTGGAGAGTGGGATGAGGCAAACTTCCAGGCTGCCCTGGACATAATATGCATTGGGAGCCTTGGGCAACTGGTCCACTCCACAAGTGCTCTTGGCACGCTTGGTCACCCAGTCAGCGTAGTTAAGCAACCACAGGGACCTAATTAGGGCTTGATGAATTTCACTGCTGTCAGTAGGAGAAAGAAGAAGAAAGTTAAAAGAACTTGAGAGCTGGGAATGAAATCTTTAAAAAGGTTTCCTCAGACATTGTGTTTTCTGATGGCATAGAGTTTTCCTGAAGTAGAGAATGTGATAAATGGTGAAAAGAAAAGAAAAGAAAAGAAAAGAAAAGAAAAGAAAAGAAAAGAAAAGAGAAAAGCCAGACCATATCCTCCCAATTAAAGACTCCTTTAAGAGAAGAAAGTATACAACTATACAGCCACTTATTATTTAAGTATGCATATATACTGTATGGTGGAAAACCAAACATTAGAATGGAACTCTGTTACTGAAAACTTATCTAAAGGTTCATCCTTAGAATAATACAATTTAACTGATGGTTGCTTACAGAAGTCTTAAGCCCTCTTGAACATCTTTCTTCTTCCCCGCAGCTGTATGAAATCCTCGCCACCACAGCGTACGGTGACCGAAAGGCAGGGCAAGCTGGAATAGAAAGGCTGCTGAGTGAGGATGTCTTCACAGCTGCATTCCCACTACATGATGTAAGTTGGCAGGCCTTCTGCCCATTCTATTTTCAGATGAGTTACACCAGGATACCCTGGCCATAGTTACACAACAGGCTATACAGCTGTTTTGTATGGAGATCATTGGTCCATCTGGCTTAGCTTTCCCCATGTTTGTGGCTCCCAAAGTGTTGGATTACCACTAACAGACAGAGCATGATTGCAGTCTAACACTTCTGGGTAGCACCAACTTAGGCAAGGCTGATCCAGCCCAGTACTGTGTACTCTGACTGGCAGTCCCCCACTTGGGTCATGAGCAGAGATCATTCGTTTCACCTGCTAACTGGAAATGATGGGGACTGAATGGAGAACTTTGGCCCTGAGGCAATTCCTTTAAGGACAAGACAAAAATTCTTCATTCCCTATAACTAATCCTTCCTAAAATGGCAGAATACTAAATATGCTTATTATACATGCAGGGAGCAGGATCTAACCCTTAAATCGAATGTAGAGTGGGAATTGTTTACTGGGAGCTCTACTGCAGTAAGTTACTCCTTGCAATAAAAATAACTGCTTACATTGACTAAGAAGTGATACCTGGATACGGGCAAAATGAAAAGAAATCAAACCCACTGTTTTAAATCTACTTCTTTTTGTCATGATTTCCTTTTTTAACTTAAATGTTGCAGTGTTAATGGTTTTCCTCTTATTACTACAGTGATCCTGCACAGGTAGCATACATAGCATCTGCACAAACTTAACTGGGGGAAGAGGGCTTACTACCAGGGGAGAACCACCTTTTCTAGGAGGCATGAAGTTTTTACCATATAGTACTTGTGAGTCCTGGTGCTTTTAGATGTGTTGATGCCATCTCCCACCATCCCATCATATCTGGAGGGCACCAACATGAAGAGGCCAGCTGCAGGAGTGAAGAGTCAATGTACAACTGTCCATCCAGTCTGTACAACTCAACCAAGGATGTGTACAGCCCATACCTCCCTGCATTGATGCTCAGCACTTGGAGCAAAGAACTACTCTCTTTGAAAAAGTGGTTTTGCTTCTTTATTATCCTTTCTTTACAGCCCTAAAAAAGAGAAGGGAAATGTGTGGCCCTCCAGATGTCAATGAACTATCATCCCTTGCCATTAGCCATGGTGGCTAATGTTGATAGGACTTGCAGTCCAACAATATATGGAGGGCCACACATTCCTCGCTCCTGCCTTAAAATGTTGGCCCTGTTTGACTTCCATTTTCCTTTGACTTTTCTGCCCCATGGAACAAGATAAAGATTTGCAGGCTCATTGGGCTTTCAATATTTGAATTATATTGTACTTTGGGAGGTAATGAAGTGTTTGCTTTATAAATACATAACTAGATTTGATATTTTTGGGAAGTCAGGTTTACAACATATGACCAATATTGACTGTGTGATAAAGTATCTGACTAGGCTTATGTAAGTAAAATGCCTGCCTTTCAGTCACTAAAATGTCTACTTGTTTGAAGAAAAGACAAACAAGCAATATTCTTGTATTTTGGTTATGGATTACAGCTATGATTTTGTGTAAGAATGAAAAGATGTAATCCTAAGTAACCAGTTTTGCTCGTATGGTTGAAGAATTGTTTTATGAATATACATTTTTATTCTATTTATTAATATTAAATGATCAATTATATTTTATAAAGATAGTTAAAACTGCCTTCTTCAACCAGATGGCCTTCAGATGTGTTAGACTGCAGCTCTGCTTGTTCTCAACCAGAATGGTTGGGAAAGCTTATGTGAATATAGACTACCCCGCCTGTTAAACAAATAAGTATGGATAACCTCCCTCTCTGCCATAAGGGTCCCTACAAGATACCGTCAGAGGAGATGGTCCCTCCTCCATTGAACCAGAGGCAGATTCTTTTCCAGTACTGGGCCCAGTGGAGTAAGTGGAAGAAGTACCAGCCTTTGGATCACATCCGCAGGTACTTTGGGGAGAAGATTGCTCTCTACTTTGCCTGGCTTGGTGAGTACAAGGCCCCTTGCATGCTCTCTGTAGCACCTCAAACACTTTAGACCACAGGAGTGCTCTGGTTCTTCTCCCTCAGTGCAAACAAGTCACTCCTGCTCTTCGCTCTGCTTGGCAGGGCAATCCATGAAGACTGTGAGCATGTTCCACAAAAGGACAAACTCTGGTGGCAAGGAGAACATTGGGGGATCTCACAACCAAGTCCGTGAACTGGAAAGAGTTCAGTAAATGCCTGCACTATTCATGTGTGGTCAGGCATTTTCCTGCTCAGTTCTGATTTCTTTGTTTTGTTAGTTTTGTAATTTATAAAATTATGTTTATAAATGCAGATTTACCTCTGATGCCATAGCTTTTCAGATTGTAAGCCGTCCAGAGACCCACAGGGTATTGGACGGAGTAAAAATACCCAAACAAACAAACAAATGGAATGTTCCACAAGTGTTGTCCTGCTCTAAAGCAGTGCTTCTCACATGCTCCTTTTATCTGCCCTCTTCCATCTGACTTTTGTGTATCAAGAAAAGAATACAAATGGAAGAACTGTCTGTCTTCAAAATGAGTGAAAGGGCTAGAGCTTGGTGGAAGAACACAATTTGACATATGGAAGATCTTGGTTCAGTCCCTGGAATTTCCATTTAAAGGTTTTCAGGTTGTCAATTTGTCTGATAGTTTGAAAAATTAGTACCTCTCAAGAGTAAACAGATCTGGGCTAGACTGGGCAATGATCTGCCAATACATGGCATCTTCATGTGTTCAATAGTATGCTTTATAGTGCATTTTCAGAATGTGCTTAATGTACCTGAATGCTGAATGATCCCTGTTGTGAAGCTCACCTGGATTTAGGGATTGCTATGTACAGGTTTTTACTTGTGTTATCAAGCATTTTTTCATAGTCACAGAGTGCACTTAATGGTTGTTTGTGAATAGGTTGCATTCATATGTCTTCTTTCCTCAAGGAAAATCAAATGTAATTATAGGTCAGGTTGTGTGGCTCTGAATTGGCACATTGTTATCTGTGTGTGTCTGCATGTGTGCGTGTATGCACCAAGGAAAGTGGTCATCACCTATGGCCACAGTTAGTATTGCTAGGCTAACACAGCTGAGGATGCAACCTTACGCATGCCTGGGAAATTATGGCAGCATTAGGGCTTAGGCATTTTTCTGTCTAAACATGCATAGTACTGTCTTCTAATATATAGAAGTAGTCTGCTTTGCCACACTGTGGTGCTTGCAGTCATCCAAAAATATTCCTTGCTCATAGTTGCCATATATAAGACTCCCACAAAGCATTCTACTTAACTTGGTCTTTTCAAAGAATGGTTTGTGAATGCAAAATCCTTCTTCTAGCCTGGTTTTCTAGATGTATCCACTCTGAGTAAGTGGGGTGAGGGGAGAGTGGCCATTTACTACCTCTGTGGGCATTTCCCAGGAACTATAATTAACCCATCATATTTTTAACACACTTCAGAATGTGTTTCTTAATTTGGGTAAGAGCATAACAAAAGCCAAGCCTGATCAGACGAATGGTCCATCCAGTCCAGCATTCTGTTCCCACCACAGCAAACCAGTTGCCCACAGGAGCCCTCAAGCAGGATGGATACAAGAGTTCCACTGGGCCAATTGCTCAGGCATGCTGTCTCCATCAAAGGAGGCAGCACCGAGCCAGAAGGACTAGTTGGTTCTAGTTAGGATGTTATAAGAACGTGGTAAGCATGAAACTAATACCATTTTCTTGAATATTATAAGGGCTTGTATTGGTCTTTAAAGCCATCCTGTGTTCTAGGAACCCTTTCATTTAATTTTGATACTGCCCAATAGCCAAAGCTCTCTGAGTGGTTCACAACAATTAATTAGTACAATAGTTACAATAAAAATACAAATACAATAAAACAAAAATACAGAAAAATTCTAGTATACAAATTAAAACAGTTAAAATATGCAACTTTGATTTATTTATTTGTTTGTTTATTCATTTCATTTCATTTCATTTCTATACCATCCACTCTCTGGGAAGTTTACAACACACTATAAAAATAGAATAGATAAAAACATTAGGAATTAAAAATTAATTTAAAATAACATTAAAAGACAATTAAAAAGACATGGTTTAATAGCTAAAACCTAAAATATTTCAATTAAAAACTAGATCTAATTAAAACAGCAGACATAACCTGCCCTATGCCATGAAATGCCTGGGAATAGAGGGTCATTTTAACCTGATAATGAAAGATAACAATGTTGGCACCAGGCAGGCCTCACCAGGGATACCAGTCCATAACCGAGGGATTGTTACTCAGTGGTCTATTTCTGGGTAATATAGGCCTTTTCCTAAGATGGCCCTTTTACATAAAATAGCTGCCACTTAGTTCAGCTGAAGGTAGGCAGTGGAGACTCCTTTTTCTGCACTTTGGCCCACTTCTGCTTGTTCTAACATGCTTTGACTTGTCTTCTTTCAGGTTTCTACACTGGGTGGCTTTTACCAGCAGCTGTAGTGGGGACGCTAGTCTTCATAATAGGCATCTTTATGATGTTTGAGGACGTGCCTACGTAAGTGCCAACACATCCTTTCCCCTCCTTTCTCACTTCCGTGCTCAGAAAGCCTATAGTGGTTTTTAAACCCTGGATGGTTTTATGACACTTGATCTTCACGTAGGTATTGCCCACAGTTCCTGAGCAGAGTGTGTGTTTTCATGGGTGAGGCTTTTGAAATCAATTAAGATATTGATAATTATGATATTATTACCCTGACTTATACCAAGAATTTTACATGGGGTGTGTGGATTGGATGATGTAATCTTCCATGCTACTCCTATCTTTTTCTTACTTCAGAAAATGCATTATGGAAAAAAGGATGGAAACAGAGCACAATGCCTTTTGATTGGCAGTACTAGTAGCCCTCTGTCAGGAACCCCCACCCCCAAGTTTTCCAGCAGACAAGAGATTTCTAGTTTTAAGATTCACAAAGTTTATTGGAAATATGCTCCTTAGAGACAGAATGTGAATAGTGGCTTTGCTACTTAGCTGATACCCCAGCTTTGTAGGGGCCTAAGGCAGTCACACTTACCCCTGAAAGAATGTGAGTAAGAATGATTGTTAGGACAGGAACACCAATGACCAGACCAGAGAAGGAGTTCAGAAGAGCAGCTAGTTCATCTCTTCAGCTAATTGTAACCATTTCCTCTCTTTTTCCTTTGCTCTTCATATGAACTACAGGCAGGAAATCTGTACCAGTGATGGTAAATACAAAATGTGCCCACTTTGCAAAGTCTGTCCTTACTGGAACCTCTCCACCATCTGCACAATGTTTCAGGTACAGTTCATAGCTCTGAAGACCAGTTGTGAGCTAAAACACACAATAGATTTATTAACACATTACTAACGCCACCATAGTGCAAGATAATACTTCTAGTGTGTGCTCTGCTGGAAGCTGGGGAAAGAAATTAGATATATCATATGTTTATTTTCTGTAGACGATGGAAGGGTATCTAGGTAGTGTTGTGCAAATGAGACTCATTTATTCCATGTTCCTGTAGCAGCAAGTCCCTGCCAGGTTTGGGGAAAAGCATGGCTAAAAGTGTGAGCTGGAATGGGGAAATCCCAACATTTTTTAAATCTCCAAATGAAAGGACCATCTTGAAATGCATTGAAATGAGTATTTAAAAATCCTTAAAAATCAGAGAAAGGAAGAGGCAGGAAAGAAGTCAACTTCAGGCCCAAAATTATTTGAACAACAAATCCTAAGACTCGGGGGTCTTCTCCAAGACACAACAGCAGCACTGTGGGCCTCTCACAGATGGTTGGCCTCTCACCACTGTGTGAACAGCACAGAAGAGCAGCCATGTTGGATCGCGCCATGACCCTCTTTGTTTTTAATATCACCACACCACTGAAGCACCAAGGAATGTGCCCTTCCATTGAGCTATTGTCCTCCACCATTTTGCATAACCCTGCCTGCTGGATCCTCTTCACCTTCTCCTGGAGGTCTGTTTTACAGGATGACGCAAGATAAGGAGCCCAGTTTAGATAGTTCCATGTAGTTCAAACAGTTTCTTCTTAATTACTTGGCTGGAATATATGTGTGTTTGTAGTGGTCATTTGGTAGAAACCACCACAAATATTCACCATGTGCTGGCGGCTATCATATATAAACCAATTTGTTTCAGTCTTTCGCTACTGCTTAATATAACTTTTGGAATTTGGGGTTGTTTTGTTGGATAATATAACTAGCCCTTCATAGTTTTTTGTTTTGTTTTGGCACATATTCAACTGCAATTCCTGTCTGTTTCCCTCCTCGCCCCCAGGCTGGTCGTCTTTTTGATCATGGAGGGACTGTCTTCTTTAGCATCTTCATGGCTCTGTGGGCAGTCACCTTCCTAGAGTACTGGAAGCGAATGAACGCTACCCTGACACACCGCTGGGATTGCTCAGACTTTAAAGATACTGAGGTACTGCTTTGGGGGACCTCTAAGTACAGCCAAAATCCCTGAAAGACTTAGAGTGCATGTCAGATTTCTCTCTTTATAGGAACGTCCACGGCCCCAATTTACTGCCATGGCTCCCATGATAACCAGAAATCCCATTACTGGAGAGGAAGAGCCCTATTTTCCTAAGAAGAGTCAATTCAACAGAATAGTAGCTGGATCAACGGTCATCATCATGATGGTGAGAAAACTGTTGTTTGGGGGTCAAGATGTCAAATATAGGAGGCCTAAAAGTTCCTTTCAGTAATAATTCTTTATGCAGCGGTATCTTTGCTAATCAGTTTCTTTCAGAGAAGAAGGCAGTGGGCTGTCATGCTTTGTGGAGAGCGCCACGCTGTGAAATCCTCACCTCAGACCTCACCTTTAGCTGAATTGCCTATTCAAATGAACATCCATGGCCATTAAGAAACACTACAATTTGGATGGAATTGTAGGTGGGCCACAGCTTAATTTCAAAAACTTTCTGGTGAGATCAGTTTAGACTCCTGCAAGAGCTGTCTGTTTCTTCCCTGGCAACCAGGAAAGAGGGGGAACAGAGAGAAAAGAAGGTAGTAGAATGAGAATAAAAAGGAGTTGACAGAAAAGCAAAGGCACTTTGGACACAGACCTTGCCATTTCAGCCTCACCCTCACTGACATCAGCGCTCAGTATTAAAAATGCTGTCCACCCCTGCCTGATCCTGAAAAGCCACAGTGAGAAACCCATTCATAGTAATTGAACGTCTGGTAATACTCTTTGTTTTGCCTGGCTCTGTCTGCAGATTGCGGTGGTGGTGATGTTTCTAATTTCCATCATCCTTTACCGGGCCATCATCGCCATAGTCATATCGAGGTCTGGGAATTTCCTCATCGTGTCTTCGGTAAGGCACCTATGTGGCTCTCTTCCAGCATCACTTGGTCATACCATTGGTATGTGAATGTCACATTCTTTCTTCTTTGCCTCTCTCAGGCATCTCGTATTGCCAGTATCACAGGCTCAGTGGTGAACCTCATTTTCATCCTCATCCTCTCCAAAATTTACATTGCACTGGCACAGTTCCTGACCAAGTGGGGTAAGTGGGCTTTGTTGGGAGCATTGGAGCAGGATCTGTGCTTCTTGCTTCTTGCCCCAGCTTCTTGAAACCAGAACGTAAAGTGAATGCTTGAGTTATAGGAGAAAGGGAGATGGGGGCTTTCATGAAGTCCACAGGACCCACTTCTCCTCACTCCTAGCCAAATCATGTGCTGAGAGTCCTGCAAAAGCAGGAGCTTAGGATCTAGGCTGCTTCTGTTCCCCTGTAATCTGGGCATTGTATTAAATGCATTTGGTGTCCAGCTGGCAGCTTTAAAACAAGAATGATGAAAGTGACAATCGAGTAAGTTTCCTAGTTTGCAAAAGGGGCTAATGAGCTGGCAGCATATATTTGAATTCTCTGTTTGGCAACATCAGAACTACTTTAAATGTTTCTAAAGAATTTGCCCAGAATTTTTGAGACACAGAAGCACTTTTTCCCCTGAAAGTACTGTTTTAAATTACTGTCAACCAGTAAAAGCTTATATTACCACTCCCATTTTGTTTGCTTTACCCCATCTGTGCCACTCGTGGTAGTAAAGATATAAATGGGTTGTTTGTTTTGATATGAGTGAATGTTTTGCAGGAGGTCTCCCATACAGTAACCAGAAGAGTTACTAATCTCATGACCAAGCTGTCCACTTGTTTTTTGTTTTTAGGTTAGATAATGTGGGCATTGCTCAAATTAGAGAGGACAAAATGTGTGAGTGTAGAATCCTTTGTGAATCTATATGCCCCACATTCTAATTCCCTTCAGCTTTCTAAGAGTAGAGTTCCATGCTAAAACTACATCCCTCTACATCTCTTTTTCTGGTTATCTGGTATCGGAATCCTTGCACATCCAGCAAAATTCATCCTCAACAAATTGTAAACAGAGCATGAAAGGCTCATTAGAACATAGCATGCTTCATTTCCACAAGTGTCAGCCTTACGGTAGAAAGGAAATCTGTGAAAATGCTTTCTGGAGTTGTATTGCCACTTTCTTGTAGGTCTACTATCTATCTATCTATCTATCTATCTATCTATCTATCTATCTATCTATGGCTCTTTTATACCGTCATTTATTCCAGAAAATCTCTCAACAGTTTACAAAATTAAAACAACAGAGCAGTTACAGCAATTAAAATCTCCACAGTGCCATTACTTGATAGAAGATAAAAATAATTAAAACTTCTATCAACAAATTAAAAACTGGGAAAATAAGAAACGTTTTGGCCTGGTGCCAGAATGAATAAAGTGCCCGGTGCTCCTCTTTGGGGAGCATATTCCATAATTGGGGTGCAGTCGCAGAAAAGTCCTTTCTCCTATTTGGTATTATGTGAAAAGGAAACTTGATGAGCTACTTCCAAAAGTGCCATAGGGAGAAAATATGGAATGGGAACATGCTTGGGAATGAAGCAGAGTCATGCCTGATTCCTCCATCACTGCCTCCCAGTGTTTGCACGCTGACCATGAATGTCTGCAGAAGGGCCCCTATGTGCAAAGGCTTCTCATGCGTAAGTGCACTGGAACATTGGTCATGCTGTGGTCCCAAACAGTTGCTTGTGTGCAGGCACTGTTTTGTTTTGTAGACATTCACACTTGTTGGGTAGACTCAGGTAGTGGCATGCCGTAACCCCAGTCCACCATCCATGCCTTAGCTCTGTGTGTTGCGGGAATGTGTGAACGGAACTTAAATCAGAAATGCACTCTGGAGTCTTTCTCCATCTCAACCACATTAGATAGAAAGCATCTGTAACCCACAGTGTACATTAGAATCTGTGACATGCGGGCAGTGTACATGGGATCAGTTGAAGAAACTTGAGTCATCCAAAATCTTTGTTAATGTAAGCCAGTAAGGATGCCCCAATATGTTTTACCGCCAGGTGGGCCTGGAGGGTGTCCATCATTCTCATGGGATCCATTTTATGTTTCTCTGCCACAGAGATGCATCGTACCCAGACCATGTATGAAGACGCATTCACATTTAAGGTGTTTGTATTTCAGTTTGTCAATTTCTACTCTTCTCCCATCTACATCGCCTTCTTTAAGGGGAGGTAAGTTGTTTAGGGCATGGCCAGCATTCCTATCCCAAAGCTGGTGCAACTTTCCTTTGTAGCATAGAATGCTTGAAAGTGTTATCTGTCTCAATGAAATATGTCCCAACTGAATGAATGCATTTCATTATTTTTATTAGTATATTTCTATACAGCCCATAGGCAGAGCTCTCTGGGCGGTTCATAACATTTAAGTCACGCATCCAAATTTCAGTCAGGCCCGACTCTGCTTAGCCTCCATGATTAGGCAGGATCAGGTACTATTTTATGAATGAATGCAATTCCCTACCTCTCTGTAAACCTAATTTTCTGCTTATAACCCTCTTCATTTTTCCTATCATTTCTTGTTTTTACCACTTTCCCCAACACTTGTTCTGCATCTAGGCCATGTGTTGCCTGCCTCTGCTCTAGTTAAAACAAGGCAGCTAAACATCAACATATAAAAAGTTTCTGTGGGGAAGATTAAGGAAACCCAAAAAAGTCAGTTTAACTTATTTATGTTTGGGTACAGCCTTGGGCTGCATAGTATATGCCAAATTTCAAGTGAAGGGATGAGAACATATGCTCTTGGGGAGAGCATGGGGGAGCTAAAAGGGGTCAGGCAAAGGTGCCTGGCCAAGACAGCCAGTGTCTTACCAGGGCACAGTTATTGTACTGTAGCTTTCTTTACCTGGGGAAAGCCTGGACACAACAGAGCTGGGTCTCGAGAAAGGTGCTAGCTGGAGAAATGTTCCTCTACCTGATGCCTTAGTCATGACATCTTTGTCTGCCTTGCTTCTTCACCAATGAGGGAAAGTGTGGAGCAGGCTAAACTAAATTCTTCAGCCAATGCACTGGCCGGAGGTACTCCTGGATACAGTAAATACTGTACTTGGATACTCTTGGATCCAAGAGATGTCCATCACATCTCTTCATCCATAGCTGAGTTAATGTGCTACATGGTTCTACTAATGTGAGGGTTCTACTAATGTGGCCAGCAGTTTCAGAACACTGTTTAGATGTATCTGAGCCACAAATTCAGCAGCAATCCCGTCTGTGAGCTTTCACTGTTGCATTCAGTGCATGATGGACAGAAGTGTCGTACTGTTGCCGTCTACTGCCCAGTTGCAGTATAGCATTGTAAATCTGGATGAGAAGTATTACAAGTCAGACTAAATATATGAGACTTGGAAGCTGCATGTGTCAAATATGTTAACTGCAGATTGTAATGTTTATGACCTTGTATACTGAATGATTAAAAGTGCTGGATCTCAATGACTGCCAAATGCAGATGGCATAAACTGCAGCCTTGGGGAAGTGTGCTGCCTTTAGGCATAAATAAGCATGATGTATGGCTAGTAAAACCTCATCGGCCTTATTTATTCATTAAAGGCTGCTTCCGGAGGGGGTATCTTGTTGTTAAGAAGCCCTGGAGGGAATTCTTAGCCTGTAACTAAATATTGCATATCAGTGTGCACAGCAAAACCCAAATGGCTCTCTCTAAGACATGTTTGGAACCCCATGATGTGGGGGGTGAGAAGCAATTTGGTCAATGTAACTGCTTGCATTCTGGACTCCCCTTGGCAGTGTGGCTCTGCAGGCTGTCATGATGAGTCCCTGCAGTTCAAAATTTACCAGTATATCAGTGGGTGTCCCAATATGTATGTATCTTTGTGGGGGGAGGTGCAGGGTAAGGTATTTATTACTGGATTAATAAGTCTTGTAACTGGCTGCTTTCTTTTTCTCCTCCTCCAGGTTTGTAGGCTATCCAGGCCACTATAACAAATTGCTTGGCATTCGCAATGAGGATGTGAGTATTTTGGGAGAGATGAGATGGGATCTAATAACAACTGCTGGGTAGGGATGCTCAAGAAGAGCAGATATCCCACGTAACCCATATGAACTTTGTTGATTAAAGGGTGGCTGATAAATCCATCTATAATGAATAAAATAAACAAACAAAACAGGTTGGCCATAGGGTAGCTTCACATCCAGTGATGGGAGTGTATATGCTCCAAAAAGTCCAGAAAGATCCTTTCTTCCAGCTCCAATCTATTTTCCAGCAAGTCCAGAACCCACCTTGCCCTCTCCAATAGTCTGCTGTAGCACACCATGTGGCATTTCCCAAGGGAGTAGTGCAGTCACCCAAAGGGTCAAATTGAACTCACTCCCTGGATCTTAATACAGCCCTTAATCCAGACCTATCCAGATGCACGCTTCCCTTCTCCCTGACTGCTGTTTGCATTTGTGCAAGGCTTTCTCCCACATTCTAACAGGTTGAAATGCCTCTCCAAAAGCTTTAAGTTCAAATATTGTTTTTGATATTTTGTTTCTGCCCATTTTCCCTTCTACTCTACCTTCTTTTGCTTTTGGCTGGCCCACAGTGCAACATGGACCATGAGAGTGTCTGCAAAATTGAATTTAGCCCTTTGGCTGAAAGAGACAGGACACTTCTGAAGCAGGGGAACTGGTCCTAGTTCTAAACAATAGTAAATGAAGTGATGCACCTGTGTCTGGAGTAGTGATGTGAGAAATCCTGTTTGGGTGTGGCAATCCCTCTGATTTCCTCAGCTCAGCTTCCTGGGTTCTGCCTTGCTTTGTCTCTGCCCTAGGTCTGCCTTGCACTCAACATTCATATGAGTGTCCAGCAGGAAGTGTGTCCAACTGTCATGTGGATACAGCTAGTCAGGCCAGCTTGTACACTTGCTGCTTTCAACCCCACACCCCTATGCAAGCAGAGTTCTGCTTCTGCACATGTGATTTGTGGGCTTTGCATACCTTGTACAAGAATTCAGTGCAAAGAAGGGGCCTGCAAGTGTTCCTGGGAATTCATGGACTTGATCTTGGGTTGGCTAACTTCCTAGGCCAGGGCCAAGGATGAGAAAGATGTCTGGTGAGTGCAAAAGAGCTGTATTCCATGTGGCTTTTTGCGACACTAGCCTAAACTGAACCATTGCAGGTGGAGGTTCATACAACTGAAGAACACTCCACAGAATGTCCTTGGTACAGATCAAGCAAGTACTGTTTGTGTTCATCCAGGTCCTCTGAACTTTCCTTTTTATCTACCACATTTGTCTACAATCTGTTCATTTTGCATGGATGGAAAATTGTGCAAAACAAATGGGAAAAATGCAACCCAAATCTGCATATCTTCCAAAAGTGCACACTGTCAACAGAGACTGCAATATGCAAATATAAACAAAAATGTATGCACATTTTAAAATCTGTTTTTATAATGCACATTTTTTTCAAACATGAAGACATGCTTGAGAATTTGCAAACAGTTTCAGATCACACATTCTTCTTCTCACACTTGTGTTTGGGGTTGCAAATGCAGTGTGTCGGCATGATTGGCAAATATAAACAAAATTCTCATCCATTCCTACCCTGGCATATAGAAATCCTAGATGTCAGGAAGAAGGGAACTAATTCTCTGTGTGTCAAAATATTTTGTTTTGTTCTCTTTCATGGAGGAGTATTCCATCATGCATGCCTTCATATCCCTTCTCTAATAATAATGCATGATTTGAAGAACATTACTGATTGTCTACCATGTACTGTAGGCTATCCTTCTATTTTGTCCAGTGTGCTCCAGGTGGCTGCCTCATCGAACTTGCCCAGGAGCTTCTGATCATCATGGTGGGCAAGCAAATAATTAACAACATACAGGAGATCCTTATCCCGTGAGTGACATTGTCCTTTGCTAGTATGGTGTAAACTATGCCCATTATGGGAGATAATCTCTGGACCGTTGCCAGATTGACCATGCAGTAGATTAGTCATTAAATCAATTATGGGGGGATGTCATATTTGATTTATTTCATCTGAAGGACAGGAACTAGTGCAAGAGGCCAATAAAGCTAGTGATAGTGGTAGTAATACTATGGATCCTAATCTTTAATGTGCTGGAACTGGATAACTGGGAACAGAGTACTCTTTTCGAATCATAGTACTTGAAAACAGCTACGTTTGGCTAGTATCTCACACAATAATCCATCCAGTTCAGTCAGTGTAGCCATGGGAAGCTGGGCCAAAGGGAAGTGGGGTGGGGAAGAGATTGGCTAAAACTTAGTTCTTATGGAATGTCTTAGGGCTGCTTCACAAAATAATTTGTTATGATTAGGCAAGAGTAAAAGACCATCCATGGGTATACACGCATGTGGAAATGTAATGTGTGAATTGAGCAGTCACAGATATGGCTTCATACCTACTTTCAGTGAACTGAGTTCCTCACAGGTTGTCCCTAAACAGAACATTGAGGAGAAGGAAAGTGGGTTGCAAGGAGTGTAAGCTGAACTCTCAGGGAGAGGAAGGTAATTCTGTTTAGGTCTGAACACAGGAAAGCACATACTGTGAGGTGCTCTGCTAATGGCAACTTGCCAGCTTCTCTTCATAGAACCATCTCATTAAGTAGGCTGGAGTGATATGTGGATGTTGGCAGCAGTGTGGAAAGCCTTGACGTATGCTTCCAGCTTCCAAGTACAGGACAGAGAAATGAACCTCGAGCAGACTGGATGCAAAACAAACAAAAATTATAGAAGACAAGAGCACGGGGGATTTCACAGAAAGAAAATGAACTTGAAGAGCAAACTGAATATGATGTGTGTGATCTGTGAACAGGATCCCATTAAAACAATTAAAATCAAAGACTGGATACTAGAGTAGGGAGGAGATATGCAGTTAATGGGAGAAAATTCTAGTGATACCTTACATTTATATCCTGCCTTTCTTTCACAAAGTGGCATGCAGTGGTACTCCTGGGTATTGCTAGATCTTGGACTGAATGGTCCGATGGGGGCCTCTTTTAGATGGCCATGCGTAGTACTCCAGTTGGGCACACAGCTATCATTCCCCACACTCCAAGTGCCATTCCATTCTTTAAAAATAGTTTCTGCACTCCTGGTCAAGTAAAGCAAGGATCCCAACACAGTGGCTGCAGGTACTGTGCCACCGATGGTGACCTCTAGTAGTGCCCATTATTTATTTATTTCATTTCTAAACAGTCCATTGCCAAAGCTCTCTGGGCAGTTTACAACAGAGTATACAAACAATAAAATGCAGTAGATAAAAACATAGGCAAGCTACGAACCTGCTGCTTCAGGGGGAGTGTGACTTCATCTAGAACAGGTTGAATACACCACATCCACTCAAAGAATCATTCGCCAGCAGCATCTCAGTCTTGCCTGGACTGAGTTCAGGTTCTTAGTCCTCATTCAGTCCATTATTGTAGTCAGACACTGGTTTAGCACAACTGCAGCCTCCCCCATCAACAATGAATGGGAGAGATGGAGCTGTGTGTCATCAGCATGCTCTCCAAAGCTCTGGATGACCTTGGAGGGTGCCAAGTCAGGGAAGACTGCTCTGTAAATTCAGTGATGGAGATCAAATAAAACCATGTCTTGGTCTGGATGCATACAGCCAGCAGTCATTAATTGGCCACTCCTCAATGATTAAAAAAGCAAGTGGCCAGGATGTTCTACTAACCCTGATCTTCTGTTCTCCACAGAAAGTTGAAAACATGGTGGCATAAGTGGAATGGTCTCTCCATTAGGAACAAAGAAGGCCAGGAAAAGTTCATGAAGCAGCTCTGGGAGAGTGATTATGAATTGCTGCCCTATGAGGGGCTCTTTAATGAATACCTGGAAATGGGTATGATTCATCTGAGTGAAGCAAAAAAAAGATGAGTAACTAAAACTGCTGTTAATATATACTGCAGCAGTCAAAAAGTCCCTACTTCTTTGAAGTAACTATTGCCAAATAATATTTGTAACTGGAATGGAATGTTAAACTCCCACAAGGAAAGCATTAAAAAAAAATCTATCTCCTATGATCCAGCCAGGCAACTTGTGCCCCCTCCCCGCACATGTTGTTGGATTGTGACAGGGCCGTCTTAACGCATGGGCCTGATGGGCACTTGCCCGTGGGCCCCATACTAATCTGTGTATGTTAACCCTTGGAAAATTGGAAAGCTTCCAAAATTAACAGTAGTTGTAGTTGTCCTAGGAGCTCCAGTATACTGCTTCGCCCGGGGCCCATAATGCTGTTGTTAGCCGCCCCGAGGCTTTGTTGCGATGGGGGTGGCATAAAAATGTTTTAAATAAAATAAATAAATAATAAATAAGACGGCCCTGGATTGTGACTCCCATCACCTTGAGCCAGCATAGCCAATGTTAGCAATCATAGGAGTTGTAGTCCAACAACTTTTGGAAGGCTACAAGTTGTCCACCCTGTCCTATGACAACACATTACACAAATGGGTATAATTTCCTTCCTGAGGATTTGGACTCTGGTTGGAACCTGTGTGTATTAGATGAACCTTAGGCCTGATCCAGTGGGATTCTTATGTTCTTAATGTTTAAAAGCCTTCTGGGTTAAATGCTAATTATGCAACATGTTCACACCAGCAATTGCTGAAATTGCACTGGCTGGAAGAACTAGAGTCCTGAAAACCAAAGGTGTATGGATATCTTTAGGTGGACTAACATAGACAGGTTAGTCCTTGTGTGCTCTTCTTCTACCCAGAGAGGAACAGCTCAAAATTCTGCATTCACATGCTTGTATAGCAAGTGCTAAATAATGTTCAATTCTTACAATGGCTTCCTACTTTAAAATTGGAGGTCTCTTATAGAAACAAAGACATGGATTGAGACTGTATCTGTACTAATGGCTTCCACAGGTCAAATGTGGCAGGGAAAACACTCATTAGCATGTTCTAATGGTTAGAATTGTTTGATATGGGATTGTTTGATCTGTGGATTAGCATTACTGCAGGGACAGCCTGAGAGTTAGAGAGCAAGAGTGCTGTATGGTGTGAGCATCTTGCCATTCCTCCCACCAAATACACAATCAGGAGTAATCTGGTGTGCATTAGATCTGCATTCAGATCTAATGCAGGATACTGTCAACTTACAGTTCAACAATGTAAACTTTGGCTATAACTCTGCTATCATAAGAGCCGAAAGGTAAAACCTGGTTTCTTCTATTTTCAACAAATGCTGAGCTTGTTGAGATTCTGAATCAGATGATAAAGATGATTCCCTTATTGTGAAGCTAGTGTAGCCGTGCTGATTTCCAGAACTCAAATCCTAGTAGACAACATCTTCAAGGAACTAGTTTGTGAACATAGACTGTATCCTGGAGGAGATAGCTGCTGTAGTCCAATACTTTTGGCAGGTATGAGGGTCAGAAAAGCCAGAGCAGAGCATTTCCCAGTCCAGCTGTTGACAGCATTCTTAGGTGGGACCATCTGTGCTTACCTTGCTGGTAGTAAAACATTTTTTTCTCTGCTTCAGTCATTCAGTTTGGCTTCGTTACCATCTTTGTGGCTGCCTGCCCCCTTGCACCTCTGTTTGCCTTGCTCAACAACTGGGTGGAAATTCGCTTGGATGCCCATAAATTTGTTTGTGAATACCGGCGTCCAATTACTGAGCGGGCCCAAGGCATTGGCATCTGGTTCCATATCCTGGAGGTCATCACACACTTGGCAGTCATTAGTAATGTGAGTATTGCTGGCATAAAGGTGAAGCAGTCAAAGTACAGCCTTGCCGTGATATCATTAGACTGTTTGAAGGTCCTTCCTGAAAACAACTACTCCGTCGCAAAGCATCCGTAGCTGAATTATTACCCTGCTGTTTGCCTTCATGGATGTTTATGATGGGTTGTGTTTACTCACTTGGTGGTTTCTTTCCCAAGGCAGTTTTGGATGGAAGATAAACAAAGTGAGGTAGTTGCAGTTTGCTTGGTGCTGCTAGAAAAGATCGTTCCTTTTCAATGGGAAGCAATCCATCTCAGTGCATGTTCATACATTACTAAATACAACAGCTAGTTGAGGTTACTGTTCACTTAAGTGGCTTAGCTGCAAGGAAGAAGCTATTTCCCCCAAGCTTGATACACATCACAGAACAGCAGCTGACCAAATTACTGAGCATGGCTTCACTTCACTCTAACCTTCATAGCTGGCTGGAGATAGCACAGAGCAGGGAGCCTCTTTCTCTGTGCAGAGAAAGGAATCCAGTGGCTAGAGATGCAAAGGCCAGGAAAAAAAAGTCAGGGACCATTTTTGTGGCTTATGGAGTATTTTCTTTCAGAATATTGAACAAAATGCTGCAGTGGAGATGTTCTTGTATTTACTCACACATTTTTTCCTAAAAACTATGTACTAGATATCAGTGTAAAACTACACACAGTATCAGATCACAAGTCTTGTATATTGAGACCTAGATTGTAAAAGAACCTCTCAAATGTAAGTGCAGGATAAATTTATGCCTCTAGGGGGCACTGTAATAGTCACAAAAGAGTAAGGAGATTTCAGTTTCTTCTTAGCATGTGGGCTTCATAGTTGGTGGATCTATTTCTGTCCTTTGGACTAAGCTTCAAAGGATGGAGGAAAGTACAGGACAAAAAACAGTAGCTGAAAGTATACATACTTTAAAGGTAAGAGTTAGCATTTATCTGAATGCCGAACACTGAACCACATTATAACTGAATTGATTGATCTGCATAACACTTAACATAATTCATGCTTAATTACTACTAATTTGATGCTTTGTTGCAACCCCCCTGCTGCCGCATAGCTTAATGTTTACTGGCAGCACGTCACTTTTCTTTCCTCATCAAAATGGCTAGACTGACATAGAGGCATTTCCACACTGCTGGTTCCTTTAAGAAAAAAAATGTGATCTGCAAACTCTGTCAAATGAAATGTGCATTTCCAAAAGCTGCTAGGATGCTACTACTTTGGAGGATTATGGGCAGCCATATTGGCTGGCACCTTAAGACCATCATACCATTTGCCCAGCAAACTTTCTTTCTGCAAACTTCTTTTGAAGTTAGAATGGAATCTGTGCAAGGAAAAATCAACAAGCCAGTGTGATTAGCTGTACTTATAGATGGATGGACAAATGGGAGAGAAGTAATCAGAAAGCCAGGTTGTTTACAGTCATCTATGCATTCACACATATGGGCTCTGCTTCTGAGTAGGGCCTGAGTTGGGAAGCTGATTAAACTGCACGTGTATCTGTGAGGCTTGATTCAGCACCCCATCCCCCTTTCCCCTCAGTTTTCTTTATAGGAATGAGTGCTTTATGTCTGCTTGACACTATATAGCAGAGAACTAGAGAAGTCATAATTTTCTTTGCTTTCTTTATATTAATTGCTTCCTCATTTTATATTTTTAAATGCGCCTTATAAACTGGCAAAACCAAAGAAGTTCCTTATAGTTCAGGTCTTCCTTATAGTTCAGGTCACAGAGATTAAAACAAAAATCAGTGATTTCAGCTTGTAGGTATTGTTTGATTAAACCGTACCTTTAATACACTGAACATGGGTTTTTTTGTTTTTTGTTTTGCCAAAGTTACGGTATATACTTTTAGGTTCCTAAAATAACGAAGTACTTCAAATACTAGAAAAGTTGTCATGCAGAGACGAGTGTAGCTATAGATGATGTTTAGGTCTTAAATGTTTTCTAGTCAACTAGCCCTGGTAGAAAAGTAAATTATATGTATGTGCTGAGAAAGCAATTTAGTGCACATCCTTGAGAAGACTCAGGATGTAGCAAATCACACCTATTTGTGATAACCCAGGCTGTAATCTGTTACAGCCCACCTTTTGTTTTGACACAAGATAAAGTTTGTGCCCCTTGTAAAGCAATATCAAAGCAAACAGATAAATGTTAATTGGTGCGTCTGTGATTGTTGTAGTTTGCATTCCATAGTAATTTGGATAGGTTTCTGTTGCCCTCTGTATAACCAAGTAATCCTATATAAGCAAGGGGCTTTTCTTTACTGCCTTCAGGGGATGTTCTGACAGCTTCAGTTCTCTCTCCTAAAATCACTGGTGTGCATGTTTTATTAAACATACTTACTTGGGTGAGCCTAAACACAGAATGAAATCCCTTTTCTTCAACAAGGGCCAGAATCTATTCTTGATCATCCTGAAGTATAGCATATGGAATAATGGGCCAAAGTTAAAGGAAGTCAAATTCTGGCTGAATATCCAGAAAAGCTACCTCACTGTTAGAGCAATATGACAATGGAACAAATTACTTGGGGAGGTCATGGGTTTTCTCACACTGAAGACAGTCACAGTTCCATTGGCTAAGGATGTTCAACTTGAAGTGCAATGACCTTATTCGCTCCTTCCAACTACTATTCTATGATTCAGTGAAAATGACTAAACTGTACATATGCTGATACTGCATTTTAAAATTTTCTTGAAAATGTCTTTTTTCCTGAAAAAATCTATTGTCAGTGGAAAGTATGCATTACCACCAATGACCTCAGGGAACAGGGCTTCAGGAGAGAAAAGTACCCCTGACATCATCCTGAACCTAGTCTTGGGAGGCAATCTGTCCCCTGGGGCTGGAACAGTTCTTCACCCAACCCAGTTCTGTTGGGTTCTTGTAACAAGAACGACAAACCAAAATAAGATTAGGCTATGCAGAAAGAAATAGGTTAGTTCAAGTTACAGTCTAAGACAAAGCACTGAGCCAGCAATTGACAAGACTGTTGGAAGCTTTGTTTTTCTACAAGACATTGAAACTGCAATGGGCAGAAGGCAGGTTTAGCTTCAGCATGGCAGTCAGAAATAATGAATTATAACTTGAAATCCTCAGAGGATCTATCTGATTTATTTCATAACTCAAAACGTCATCCTCTAGGGTAATCCACTCTCATAGGATGGCATATAATACAGTTACAAATTACAAAACCCCAACAGTGAAGTTCTAATTGAAAGGGGAATGAGCTACAGCTGAACAGTAGAGACTATGTGTTGCATACAAAAGATCTGAGGTTCATGCCAGAGGAAAAAGACTCCTGCCTGAAACCCTTGAGGGCTGTTGCCCACCAGCACAGACTATACTGAGCCAGATGAACCAGTGGTAGCCCTATAGAAGCCTTACGTTCTTAAGACTTTTTGTGGAAACTTGACATGTATAATGTGGCACAGTTAGATAAGACAATGTCACTTAACTTCTGGAACAGAAAAGAGAACCAGCAAATGGGAAACTAAATTTGCACCTTTCTTTCAGGCCTTCCTGATTGCTTTCACTTCTGATTTCCTCCCTCGGTTATATTACCAGTACACTCATGCCAGTGATTTGCAGGGCTACATTGATTTTACTCTGGCTTATGCTCCTAAATCTTTTGTCTTGGAGCAGAATATCACATGCAGGTAGGACCTCCCACTCTTCTATTTTAACTTTGTCTGATAAAGGTTATTGGATAGCCACCACTGCATAAAAACATGTCATAGAGGGTAGGCCCTAAAAAAATAGCAGACAGAAAATAGATTGTCCAATTTGGGGTTCCAAGTAAGGCCTGATTACATATTGTGGGTATTCGGCATTTTGTTCTGTTTGTAAGGATGGATCTTGGCCCATTGCAATTGGAATGACATATTTGCCTGCTTTCAATAACTGAACATAATCTGAACAATTAGTATAAATGCAAAGTAGTTTAGGATGCAATCTTACACATTAGCTTGGAGGCCATAGGAGTCATGGGAGATTGTCCAGTCTTGGAGCTGAGATTCCAAAGGCCAAGCCCCTGCCACCAGCATGGAAATAACTGTGTTGGCTGCCTCTTCCCTTGAGGTTGCAAATGGGCCTGTGAAGGAGGCTGGGGCCGGGGAATTACTCCAGCCCCAATTCATGTTCCAGCCATCTTCTCTCCCCTTACATGGTGCCAAATCTACAAAATCGCAGGTAATGCAAGACATGAGGTGCAGTGATGGAGATTGCTGCTATGCCTTACACCTTTCATTGGATCTGATGAGGGGGCTATAGGATTGCAACCTTAATGTGCCATTTGAGATTTACTAAAAAAAATTAAACCAAATACAGTGAGGTGCAGAGTCCTATACTATACATGTTTACTAAGGGTCCACCCTATGTTCAGTGAGGCTTGCTCCTTGGTAAGCGTATATAAAATTGTAGCCTTAGAAACTGCAATTTTCCTTGTTAATGCTGAAGTGGCAATGTTATATTACATTAACCCATAAAATGGCAGCTGTATATAGCAAACCAATCAACTGAGACTGTCTTAGCTCAACAAAGGGAATTAATTGGTCGATTAAATGAAGATATGGTAAAAGGAAATAAGTTAAGCTTCTATTTTAGAAGAATGTGATTGTTCCACTGACAACATGGCAACTCTTCACAGGTACCGAGCCTATAGAGAACAAAACGGCAGATATTCGCTAGCTTATTGGAATCTATTGGCCATCCGTCTTGGCTTCATAATTGTATTTGAGGTAAGCTTACTCCCAGACAGGTTGGAAATTGTACAACTTTTTTATGGTCTAACATGCATAGGAGTGTGATCTACAGTCCTAAATAAATAAACCATCACTACTGGTGGTTGGTTTATTGGATGAATCTATCGTTCCACCAAGTTACAATCACTGACTTTTGCTAAAAGTGCCACTAGTTTGTTGCCTTGTTTTATAAATAACCTCCAAACTGCCCCACCCAATGCAATATTTAGGTAGGTTTGTACAAATCTACAGAGGGTCTTGCATGCATTTATTAGTAGACATAACTTGCATTCAACATACTTTCTCGGCTGCCAGTAGAAATCCTATCCTTGTTGATTCAAGAGGAAAATAGGAGTTCGTACACCCTTATTCCATATGTAGCTTGCTCTCTGCTTATCATAACCTACTTGCAATTGACTGGCATATGTCAAGGTGTTTCATTTTTAGACTGGCCTAGTAAGTAGTAGTATATTAAGCTACACGTGGTTACCAAATTTCAGCTTTCTAATTGGCCCTTGAACTAGTGTGATAGTTCCACTTTCTGCTGGATGTCTAATCAAGGAAGCTGGAGCAACTAGTTTCTGTGAACTGATTGCTGAATAGTTTATTGCTGTGTGGCCTTGATTTGCCTGACATACTAAGCTGGGCTACTGACCACCACCCTCTTGCATTCCTCTTCATTTCAGCATGTGGTCTTCTTCATTGCACGTCTGATAGATATGATGGTGCCTGACATCCCAGAAGTGGTGGAGATAAAAGTGAAACGAGAACAGTATCTAGCTAAACAAGCTCTGGCTGACAACAAGGTAAATCTTTAAGGTCTAAATATATTTATACACATACACATAATTTTGAATTTGCAGCCCCTTTTTTCCAAAGATGAACCCCCTCTTCAAGTACCTAACAACATAAATGTTAATCTATGCTGAGCTGCTGATCCTGCTTGGGGAAATGCTTCTTTGTAGAGATGCAAGGTGAAATACCAAGGCTGAGTAGTCAGATAAGCTAACTTCCAACAAATTATTTCCTTCTTCCTTCCCCCAAATATTTCACCTTGTGAGTGGAAATTACTACTTTGTCTAGACCATGGGTCCTCAAACTACGGCCTGCAAGATGGATCTGGCCTGCTATGCCCATTTGTCCGGCCCACACCACCACTTGCCACCCACGTGATCGCCCGCTGCCTCACCGTGCGGGGCGGGGAAGCGGTGGCTTGTTATTTGGGAGATGGTTTTGGACTCGTTTAGAGATCTCCGAGTGAGCAAGCCACTGTTGCTTCCACCGCCTGCCTCACAGCACGGGTGGGGAGGCATGGCTTGCTCGCTCGGAGACGGTTTTGGACTCACTGGGAGACCTCCAAGCAAGCAAGCAAGCCACCCCCACGTGCTGCCTCCTCTCCAGCCTGTGCCAGTCCCCGCCGCCTTTCAACTGGCCCCCTATTGAAAAAGTTTGAGGACCCCTGGTGTAGATGAACACTGCCACCAACAGGACTAGTAGCTTTCATTTGTAGGTTGTAGCTAATACAGACCGAGTTTATCCATGTCCATTACTTGTTATGCCATCTGGCTTTGTTTCATTTAGCTACACAAAAGCATGAGCATCTCTATAGCCTACATATATCTTTTGCTGAATAGCTCTTTTTCATGCCATTTCATACTTATTATTACATCATAGTAATTTTAACTACTGTTTTATCAGTCATCCATTTTGAGCTACACTTTTTATATAAGCCAGTAAGTGCCAGGAACTTGCCATTTTAGGTAGAAGAACCATTTAAAGTGTTTTTAATGCAAATAAATGAACAAAGTACTGAAAAATACTTGATACTAAGAATTGAATGTATTCAGCAACCCTTAGAGAGGACCCTTAGCTATGGCCCCTTTTGTATGTGTGCGTGCACACCCATTTAACAAACCACTTTCCAAATTCTGTAAAGAAAAATACTGCTAAAGAATCTATAGCGGCCCAAACAAGTTATGCCTGCTGCCTTACAACTCAACCAGTTTCTGATAACAACTTTGAGATGTGTTAGGGCTCCAGGCTTTAACTTGTAATTTGCTCTCCCAATTAATAATTGGTCTAAGAGAGCATTAGGAGCAAGCTTGGTTTGTATCTGTTACAATTCAGGTAATAACTGGATTTTTTATTTTCAAGAACTGAGGATCAACCAAAGTTTCATCAAAGCTGTCCTAGGTGCAGCCCACGAAGATACCTTACCTAGTAACATCCGATTTGGGTATCTACTCTCATATCCCATCTTCTGACTTCAACACCAGACAGCTTTTTTCCTCTCCCCCACTCACCCCTGGTTACCATCTAAAGTTCTAAGAGTTCTGGAGAATTCAAAAGCTTCCTCCTACTCTGGTTGGCCTAACATGTATTTGGGAAGTAGGAATTAACCCTAAACTGCAACTTCTCATAATTTCTCTTGCATATATCAAATGCAATTAGGCTGAAAGATGGGTAATAGACAAATTTAAATGCAAACTCATTAAATGAACCACAATCAAGAAGAAACCTTGTAGATACAAACCTCTGTTAAGAGATGCAGGTCCAGGTTGTATAGAACACTGAAAACTTCTGAGTGTCTAAACTTTCTTTTCTTCATAACAGGCCCTCATTGATGTAATAGATGTGAGAAACCCAGCCCCTCTAGCAGAGAAGACACTATAGTAGGAATCAGGACTCATAAAGAGATACACCATGTTTGGTCCAGGCCAAATTACCAAGCATCTGGAGAAGCAAGCCTCATGGGGGAAAGATGACAAAGTTTATATAATGGTGTTACCTTTCCAAGTGAAGTATGTTCCATGTGCCATACTGTAGATCAGTACCTGAAACCCTCATCCAACCACACTTCAATGTAGCTGGTTCAACACTGTGGTGAAGAATGTTACATTGGTGGAAGTAGAAGATCTACACTGAAACCAAATTAATCTAACCAGCATTGTTATCAGCTCTGTTGTCAAGTTAATTAAATGAGAGCCTCACTAGTCTTTTACCATCATAAAATAGTCTTCAACAGATATTTATGTCTTCAAGTCTAGCAGTGAGTATACATTAGCACTACGCTCTACTCCTGTTTAACAACTGAGGAGCAAGAGAAAAATCTTGTGAAATAATGACTGGGTACAAGAAAGTTTCAGATGTGTTAAGAATCTAGAACACACAAACAGCTTACAAGAAAGAGAACTCCCTCAACCCTAGTACCTTTGCTGAGTGCACATTTTTAGTAGTTGTGTAGTCTGTTTAGCATGTGATGACCGGCTTAATACAGATCATTGACTGAGAAGGAGACAGATAACGAGCAGCGCTCTCTCTCTCTCTCTTAACAGCTGTTCAATATTTCAGTAGAAAGATAGGTAGGACTCTTGAATTGGTGTGACTTGGGTTTTTTTACCTTGCAGTCTGAAGAAAAATAAAAGATAACCACTCAAAGCTGTTTCAGGTTTTATTTTTTAGAATTTATAAAATTCCAGTGTCATCCATACTCATGAGCCTTTATACATGTTTTGCATATAATCTCCAAATTCCAAAGTTAAGGCCAAGGGATCATTGCCATGAAAACGTAATATGGAAGACATTAAGAGGACATGGAGCACACCTCCACAGAGCATCTGCTGCACACTACAGGGGACGGGGGGTGGCGTACTCTCAACAGTTTGAACAAATGGCAGGGTCAGAGCCATGCTCAATGGTAGTTCAAGCCTAAAACACATGTGCAAGTGATGTGTGACATTCAGGCACCAGGTACCACTGGCAAGACATTATACACTACTACCCTGTTTCAGTCTCCTGCTCAGATGGTGATAGGGCTCATCCTGCCCCAAGTGGAATTACTCATAGAGAAATGGGTTTTCTCCCCTTTTCACTTGGGCTCACTTAAAAGTGAGAGGCTTTTCCTTCCTGCTGGGCTAGTGGTCTAGAAAGACAAGAGCTTTACAGACCATTTCCCAATATGAACTATGGGGCATAAAATGACCCTGCGGCTAGGATTCTAGCCAATGGCTCAGTAAAGCTCTAGGGTGGGGAAGGGAGAGGGGTAGGCAGAAAGCAGAGTTGGCACTAGACCCAGCGCTGCTACCAGCACTTTCAGCAGAAGAGAGAGAGAAAGAGAGAGGGAGGATGTAATGGCTGAAAGAGCAGCTTTGAAATACAAGTAGCCTTGTACTGGTTCATGGCAGCAGCTGAAATGCAGCAACTACTAGTGTTAAGACAAAAGGACAAGAACACTTTGCTGCCAGACTACACAGAGCATTTACTGAATCTAAGTGTTCTCTCACCCTCCCCCCACCAGAAGGCTTCACTTTTAAGACTGAACTGTAGCCAGCTGCTTCAATTTAAGTGAGAACCACTCCTTCACCTGCTTCCCCCAAGGCCTAAGCTTTGCTGCAGGACAATAGGCCAAATTACATGGCAGCAGTTAAGACCACTTTGTTGGAGGGGAAATTTGAGACTGAAGCTACACATACTGTCCTCTCTGCATACAGGACTAATAGTCATAACAGGAAGCAAGAGGGGCTGTCTGAAGAAGCAGGCCACTGTCATACTGGCTTGAGGTAGAAAGAAGGCAATAGTAAAAAGCAAAAGATACACCCTTAACCCTGGTACTTAAATGCCATCACTATCAAACCTATGTGTGCAGGAAGGGCAAGGGCAATGTATTCTCTTTATACTGCCCTAATCACCCACCATCTTCTGCGGCATGCTACCATGGCACTTTTGGTTAAACCAAGTTCTGTTAGACCCAATAATACTGTCAGTTTTCTGGCTCCACACAGGCATTACTACTGTTGGGAAGGAAAAGCACACAAAAAAGTGATGAGGGAAAAACACTGGCGAGCTGCAATTCAATACTCTCACCAACAAGAGAAGAATTTTGGTACACACAGTGCTCAGACTAGCACAGGGAGAGCCATGGGTCTGTCAGTGCTTTCTGGGGCCTCTAAACTCCAGGGCTAAATGTCCCCTCTCCACCCATCCATTCTGGCCAATTGTCTCTCACCTCTCCTCTCAGATAGCAGTATTAGATGAGTGCGGGGTTAAGTTTTATGGGGGGGGGTTGTTTGTTTTTTTGGCAGTTGAAAGGGAAAGTTGATTGCACTCTACAAAGGTAAGGCCTTGGAGAAACAGGGCAGGAGAGGGGAAGAGCAAACGTTTTGGCTTTGTAGAAAGTCAAGGAAATGTGTTTCCTGAGGTTGAGAGACAGGAAGTAGATTCCTAGCTGCAGTAAGGAGATCTCCTAATGAAGGCTAGAGTGCTTTGTAAGATGTACCTGGGAGGTTTGGTTACTACACCATGGCCAACATGAAAGTGAGAGGCTGAAATTTGAAAGAAAAAAATTTTGTATTTCAGGTTGGAATCAACATGAAAAGTTTCTTCCAGGGCAAAGAGAAAGGAGAGGAAAAGTCAAACTGAAGCATAGTGAGGCTTAAGCACAAGAATAACAGAACCTCAAAAGGGGTAGCACTCTAGTATCATTAAGAGACCCCCATGAGCAATCTGCACTAGATCCAGCCACTAGGTCAGAATTCAGAAAGGAAACCTTGTGGCGGGTGGCTGGAAAAGATTGCTGTTTCCAAGTCATTACCGCTTGGGACCCCAAGGTAGAGTCTTGGGGGCTACCTGAGCTCCAAAACTTGGGAAATCCTCAGAACTGCTCATATCAGGGGCCTGTAGTAAACAAAAGAAAAAGCCATAGTTTACACAAGTACCCTTGTTGGATTATATACTATACAGAGAGAGTATATGTATATATGTATGTAAATACATGTATACACATACGTACATGTGCACATGCAGCCCCCACGACTATACAGGAAGTGGAATATAACATCTTAGAAATCAAACCACTAACAGTCTAGAAAATACTTCAATGATGATGATTTTTTAAAAATAAAAATGTTCTAATTGCCCCACTTATAATACAAGGTGCATGCTTTTAATGCATATAAGACAACTCCAATTTTTGCCCTGCTATTTCTGTTCCCAAGGGTCATCTTATACACTGGTTTATAGAGTAGGTCACTTTCTCACATGCCTCCTTACATTCCTACCTTAGTGCTAAGTATGCAAAGCACTCACAGAGGAAGGAGCTCTAAGTTCATAACAGAAGGGCTGTTGCCCCATAGACTACCCAACACCAGCAGAAGCACTGACCTTTGTTCTAATACAAATGTTAACCAGCTGCACCCGTAATGGCAGTCTAGAAGTAATAAATAGTCAAGAAGTAGTAACCTACCTTCTCGGTGTTGCCTGCTGTCCAAGGGGCATCTCTCACCACAAAGCCCTTCGATGCAGCCTTAGCTTCTTCATGAGCAGGTGGTTTCATGTACACTTGCATTGCTTCATTGTCTACTACATCAGCCAGCTGAAGTGCCACACAACACAAATAAGAGCAGTTTAGTTAAAAGATATTGTTTCTTATTTGACAACAAAAAGCAGCAGCAATAGGAGCAACGTTTTCTTGATAATACTCTGACCAGCATATACAAAAGACACAAACATATTGACTCTCTCACCATTATCCAATTTTAAAGTCATTCTTCTACCTAGCATAGCAGTACACTCACATATTCCTCTTCCAGGTTCAGGATATGATCAATGGCTTCCTCCACATTGTCAGGGAGTCCAGTCACAGTCACACAGTTTGGGTCAGTGGCTCCACTCTGAGGGAAACGGATATCCACCTGCAGTGATGATGAAAATTTCAGATATGGTGGCAAATCAAGATAATAGGTCATCTCATTTTTGCTTCCATCAATAACCCAGGGAGTACAAAGTGAGATGGAAGATAACAATTGACTATTTTAAAGAGGCTCAGATGAAAGTGCTTGGCTTCCTATGAGAAGGAAGGACTATTCATGCTGGCAGCAGCACAAGTCATTTATTAAATAATGCCCTACCTACTGCGCAGTGACTGAATGGAACCCTGTTCTATACTGCTGATTAAACTGAATAATCAGATTTTTGTCTGACCTGCTCTAAAATGTGCTTGGAGCCCATCCACAGCTAATCCTGAAAGCAGTGGTGGAAGGGTATTGTGCTTCCGCTTTCTTCTAGAATCATGTGTGTGTCAGTCATTTATTGTGTTGCTACTCCTTGTAGAACCAAGACAGTGCTAGGGCTTCCTGCGTGGAATCACCTGATGCTGCAGAATAAACACTGACTGCCACTAACAATAAGTACATCTACCTCTACTTATTTACCAGACACCTAGGAATTGTTTTTCCACTCTTACAGCTTCTGAAAGTCTCAAAAATGTCACAGCAAATGCACAGAGAGATGTTTTTGCCTTCCTTAAATTTGTCCATACTGAAGCCAGACAATATATTCCCTTGAATATTCTGGCATTTGTAGCCAAGGTGGTACCCTCAGTTGATGAGTGGATCTCAGTTGTGCATTTATGGTAACTACAAGCCTCTTGAAGCCTTTCAAGTCAACAGTTTGAGAGTGGCCTTTACAGCTCCTTGTGTTTCTAATGCAGCCCTGTACCTGAAGGTGGACCTAGCTCTGTGGAGGCTTGTGCAGGAAATTTGCTTGATAAATTTCTGGGTCAAACTAATCTTCTCTTCTACAGTGGTCAGTATGGAGAAGGCTCCTAGTAGAGAAATTACTGACTTACAACTGGCAATCTAATAGCCCTTGAATGTTCCAGAGCTAAACTAGCTATTAATCAATATGAAATACAGAATTACTGAAAAAATTAGTTCAGTTACAAAATATCCCTTCCTTAGGAGTAAGGTACTTGTTCCTGCAAATTATGTAACTAACTGAACTGTCCCTAAATTTTGAAAAGACTTTAGATTGGCTTGATTTAACATTCTACCATCTAGAGATATAATATCAGAATGTTCCATATCATGAACATACTTGGCCCTGTAAAAGAGGGGAAGTGGAAACAGCTGGGCATATTTTATTATACTGCTCTTTTCACTGAGACATTCACCATGTTTTCATTACACCTATTTCATATAAAAACAATTCCATGCCAATCAATTTGATTGTATCTTTTTGTTCCTCTTTCAGATCAGGATTCTCTGATCACAAACAAAGTTGTCAAGTTCTGTGGAACAGCTAAAGCTTCCCATATTTGTAAAACAGTATTATCATAACCAGTCAATATTTCAGGTTTGCGTTAGTCTTCTCCAAGTATTGGCATAATTACCTACTTCATGGGTAAATTAGGGTATGTGCCCCTTCATGGATCACTGCCTTGTCATGGTGAAGGGGCTTGCGTAGCTCAATGAAGCTATGAGCTATGCCGTGCAGGGTCACCCAAAACGGACAGGTCATAGCAGAGAGCTCTGACAAAATGTGATCCACTGGAGAAGGAAATAGCAACCACTCCAGTATCTTTGCCATGAAAACCACATGGACAGTACTGAAAGGCAAAAAGATATGATGCCGGAAGATGAGCCCCTCAGGTCGGAAGGTGT